CTACAAAGACTCGGGACAGTTAGTATGTGAAAACCAATAGAGTCAAATCCTTGAGTATACTTTGGAAAATATTATGGGCGCTAACTTTCTGATAGCGGTAAACTTGGCAAACATGTCTTTTTACTAATCATATTGACTTATAGGGATGAAAACACCATTCAGAGAACAAAAGAAAAGATAACAACTTCTAGTATTTATTGAACATCATTCATTTAACGCAAGAAGTTTTTACCTCGGATTCTATCTCTTCAATATTTATGCTGTAGTTTTGTCCTCTTTCCATGATATTATATCGATTGTGGTTTTGGAGCACAATGATAGGTACCAGCACCCTAGTTGCTAGATCAACCGTCTCAAACCTAGAAGTTGGCACAATGCACTCAGATGAATCATCTAAGCATAATTTTCATTGCTAGAAGGAAGTAAAGTCTCACATATCATATTACCTGACATCAGGAGCTATGACATGCTCAATTGTAGTAGCTACTAACGCTGCTAACTGACCAGAAAATATATCATGGGTAGACTGATGACCAACAGGACTAACATTTCCTGGAAGCACTATGTTTCGTATCCTTGGCACTGTTCTGGGACTAACACTTCCCTCTTCAGTTTCAATCTTCCCATATGTACAAGGCCCCGCAGACAAATCTATGACAACATATCTATCAAGAAGGGAAGATATATCAGAAGTAAAATCAGGTTGAGAGCTTAGATGAAAAATTATAGCAGATAAGAACAGAAATAGTTACGCCAACAATATCTTGAATATTAATTTTAGAACAAAAGAGCTGATTACTACAATAATCTATGATTACCAAAGTGAAATGAAGGAAAAAATAAGTGCCTATCTCCTTTGTATTCCTCTAAAGCTTTTTTTTTTTTTCTGGCCTATCTATAATCAACAAAGGGACAATGATATCTCACATCCATTTTAATGGCATATATTGATGGTACCTAGACAGATGTAATACTTTCAGAATAGGGTGGTAATTGTTTGATCACATCTATGGCACAATCATTTCACTCATAGGGATAACAAAGAGATGCCAAGGGAAAACCCACTGAGTTTTTGTCCACATTTTACCGCAACAAGAAAAGAAAAACAAAGATGAGTTTACCTGCCTGATCCAAGCCAAACTTGGGATGCTCCTCCACCATTGTATCTATATCGATAAATATAATCTGCCTCTTGTTTCTCCTTGTCTGCATCACTAAGCCCTGGTAGCTTTGCAAACATCAAGCTGTCTAGATCAATCTCTGTATTTCGAGGATCCATTCTTACCTGAATAATGAGTTAAGAAAAGAAAGGGGCATTTATAGAACCCAGTAGGACAGAATCAATTACCGAACAAATGCAAACATGAAAGGAAAAAAAGCAACTACAAGAACAAAGAGAAATATGAGGGTTATAAACCCAAAAAGGCAAAAAAAATAAAATACAAGTATCTGTAGAGCATTTGGACAATCTGCATACCATATGCAAGATTCAAGAAGTAAGAAGAGCACTGGAAGCAATACCTTATCAAAATTCACAACAAATATGGCACTTGGTATAGGTTTATCCGCCGTGGCTGCTGATCCAGCTCCCACATCAATATCAAATATATACGAGTAAAGCTGGTTAAATGCGGACTCAACTTTTGTTGCCTCTACGTCAAAGGCAGGTAAGTGTCTTCCAAAATCAGTCTAAATGCAAAAATAATTTTGCAGCTTAGCATGATATACACTAAGATGTAGATTTTATAGCAATGAAATTTACATTCATAAACATATTTTTATATGTAATTAGAATCGTTATAAGAAAGAGTTAAATTTGAGATGATTAGATCACAGCAACCTCTAGTGCAGTTCCAGCAGGCACCATGGCTTCTTTCACTGCCTTCTCCAGAGCTATTAATTCAGGTTGCCCACTCTAGAGAAAGAAAATAAAGATGAACATTTACGTAAATGGGGAATACAATGAAATTCTTGGCATCAGGATACAGTAAAACTTAACATTGAGTGCAAACAACTGCATTTACAGTAATAATCTGCTGGAGACGCAAAATGCAAATCAGCAAAAGCAAATACAAGAATCCAGAACTTGCATAGAAATATTATCCGACATATATAATATTGGATGTTGAAGCATAAACAAAACAAAATTCGTGAAGACTGGTTTAAGATTAATAATTACTCACAGGAAAGATATTATAAACAACTCGATGCTCGATATCAAGTGGCTCCCCTGTCTCTTGGCATGAAGGCCTATGAGTTGAGAAACTAGCTCTTAAGAACTCCTCTAATTTTTGAGGATCCACTGAATACCTGTATCCTCCATCTCCATTCAAACCTACAAGCACTATATTCACTTCCAAAGGAACCTGAAATGGTACCTGCCAAAATAATAGTAGAGGAACATAAACAAAACAAGTTTCAGTGAAATTCAATTCTCAATGTGTTGCCCAAAATTAGCCAATCTAACAACCATATGCACGAACAAAGCTATGATCATAATCGTGAAGCAACAAGAACGCTTTTAATTGCACTTCGGTGATTCTATAAAACCAAATTACTCAACGATTTCTTCTTCTTCTAGCTAATCCAGACTAACTGATGATGATGGAGATTTTACCTCGGCACGGGAGTGAAGCATACGGCGGACATCGGATCGAACACTCTCTCGTACGTCGAGGAAAGCGCTGTGATGCCAGTGAGGATGACCTGGCTCGCGGCGGAAAGGTTGCTGAGCCGACTCGGTACGGGAAACGAGTCCGCTTAGAACCGAGAGAAACGCGACGAATAGGAGAGAAGAAAACGAAGTCGATCGTGAATCCGATCTCAACTTCATGACTGGAAAAAAACAACCGGAGATTTCGCTCGGCTCACCTCCCGATTTTGGACTGGACTGGAGAGAGTCGCTACAAGTCGCTTACGGCGAGGGAGGAGAAATGGGAAGTTTGAGGCTAATTACTAATTTATCCTCAATACTTTTCTTTTTTCTTTTTTCTTTTTGCCCTCAATGCCAATATGTGACATTGTGACCTGCTTTGCCTATATGATGCCTATAATCACAGGATTTCAGGTGGAGAATCAGAGAAAGAAAGTGAAGCTGAATAAGTACATTACAGGGGGAAGATTGAAAGGAAGCTGTTGGGCCGTTATGGCGTATCGGCGGGTCACAAGTCGAGCCTGAGACTTATGATGTGCTATTGCAGGAATGCAAGCAGAGGAAAGATTTTACAAATGGGAAACGGATACATACATGCTCAGATGGTTGTTTTGTTGTAGGATATGCTTTCAATGAGTATGTTAAACGCTAGCTGTCCTGTTTAATGGACTGGTGTTTGTCATCTTGTCTTGCATGGTGTGACCACAACGACTTGCAATTAGCTGAAAGAAATGTGTTTCTAACGATGCTGTAGCAGTCTCTCACATTAAGCCCGGTAAAGAGAAACTGTTTTGGTTCAGACACAAGCTCTGGATTGGATGACTATGAACAAGTTGATTGGTAAATAAGTTAAGATGGTGTGATTTGAATTTGGAATGAATAAAAAGTTCATTATCACATAATTGATGTGATTGGTACTGAAGTAAACTCAATGCTTTAGAGAATGTAAATAGGCAATGGCTCTTCTATGTCTTATTGACTCATAATATAAGTTATTAACTATTGTTCCAAAATGACTCAAAGATAAAGAGATGTGATGATGGTCAAAAGTCAAAACCCCCCAGCAATAAGATCCTCGAGCTCTTTTGCTAGAGGTTCCCCTCTTTTCTCCCTTTTGCTTGATATAAGTTGCATAAGACGCTTGATCTCGATTGCTAAAGCTTTATCACATGTAACTTATATCAAGCGAAGGGAGAAATTAGTGAAGTTGACCCTTATGCAAATTAGTGAGAATTTATGAATTAAATTTAGTTACCCAACTTTTCTGATCATGTCTCCTTAATCGAAAGACAGGTCTCGTATTTTATCGGAAACAATTTGGATAATACTTTTCAATACCCACTATTTTCCGTTACGATAATATATGGGTTCTCAGATTTCTAACTATGATAATTTCGGGAAGATATAAGTTTTGAAGTTCTAATTCCTACAGAATGATATAGGTTCCAAGTTTTGTTTTTGAAGAGATATAGCACAAAACCTAATTTAAACTCTATCTTGTGCATATCATATCTCTTGGAGAAATCAAAAGTTTTTTTTGTTTTTAATGTTGTAAGTTTACAATAATGTTCAAATATGAAGAATGTCACATAAATAAAAGTTCAGTAGCCCAAATTTAAATGGAGACAAACAATGCTAAATTACAAGTTTACCCAAAGATTTAAGCTGAAAACTAGGCCTGGGCATAATACCCGAACCCGAAGAACCGAACCGAACCCGACCTGAAAAACCCGACCCGATCCCGAACCCGAAGTTTTAAAATACCCGAACGGGTTCTAAACTTCACAACCCGAAAACCCGAACCCGAACCCGACCCGAACTCGAACCCGAACAAGTACCCGAACATATCCGAAATATAAATATATAGCTATAATATATTAGTAATATTTTATACTTGTAATAGCCTAAGTGTATAAATTATTAGGATGTTAAGATATTTTCGGGTGTTTTAGTTACTTTTGGTTAGATTAGGGTATAAAATACTTAAAATTTATCGATTTTATGAGTATTTTCAATACTTTTCATAGAATCGGATACAAATTTTTAAATATTTGGATACTTCGGGTAAACCCGAATCCGAACCCGAAATACCCGATCCGAACCCGATCCGAACCCGAAGTTTTAAAATACCCGAACGGGTCTTAGTTTTCTGAACCCGAAAAACCCGAACCCGAAAAACCCGACCCGAACCCGACCCGAATATCCGAACGCCCAGGCCTACTGAAAACAATAGAGAAAAATATCGTCACAGCTTACGACGATATTGGAAGCAACAAGCAACGTGTCACTTGTCATGTCGTCGTTTTCCCCAAGAAATATCCAAACTAAACACCCAGTTACCTCACGCCACGTGTTTACTCACACTCCTTTAAACAAGCTCGTAACTGTTTCCTCTTCTTGTCCCCAAAGTCTCTTCTTCCTTATCTCTCGGAAACCCAAGAAGAATGGATCGTGTGGTCTTCTTCTTCCTCATCGCAGCCACGTTACTAGCAGTTTCTCTCGGATCCGCCGTCATCTCCGGCGAGGTAAACGACGGTTTCGTTAACCCGATCAGGCAAGTCGTCCCGGAGGAGAACGATGAACATCTCCTCAACGCGGAACATCACTTCTCTCTATTCAAATCTAAGTACGAGAAGACTTATGCGACTCAGGAAGAGCACGATCATCGGTTCCGTGTCTTCAAAGCTAACTTAAGGCGAGCTAGGCGGAACCAGCTTCTAGATCCGTCTGCTGTCCACGGCGTCACGCAATTCTCAGATCTTACTCCGAAAGAATTCCGCCGCAAGTTTTTAGGGCTGAAACGCCGAGGGTTTCGTCTTCCTACTGATACTCAGACGGCGCCGATTCTTCCGACTAGCGATCTTCCGACGGAGTTTGATTGGCGTGAACAAGGAGCCGTCACACCTGTTAAAAACCAGGTTTGTTGAGATTTCGAGATTGGTGTGATTTAGCTTTGTAATTGTTCATGGACGATATCCTAGAGAGTGAAGTTTATATGTGTGTTTTGATTGTGAATAGGGTATGTGTGGTTCATGCTGGTCTTTTAGTGCGATAGGAGCTCTTGAAGGAGCACATTTTCTAGCGACTAAAGAGCTTGTTAGCCTCAGTGAGCAGCAGCTCGTAGATTGTGACCATGAGGTTTGTTTCGTTTATCGATTGTTTGTTTCCCATTTGATGTGTTTTGGACCTTGAAGTGGTTGTGACTAATTTATATATGTTTCTTGCAGTGTGATCCAGCACAAGCCAATTCATGTGACTCTGGTTGCAGTGGAGGACTAATGAATAACGCTTTTGAGTACGCTCTTAAAGCTGGTGGTCTTATGAAGGAAGAAGACTATCCTTATACAGGACGTGACAATACCGCCTGCAAATTCGACAAGAGCAAGATTGCTGCGAGCGTTTCTAATTTCAGCGTTGTCTCTTCAGATGAAGACCAAATCGCTGCTAATCTAGTCAAGCACGGACCTCTAGCTAGTAAGTTTGAAAACTCTTTTACCTTGTTACTAATTTTAAGAATTAGAGATTTAATAACACATGGTTTCTTTGTTGGTCAAACAGTTGCTATCAATGCGATGTGGATGCAAACATACATAGGAGGAGTCTCGTGTCCATATGTATGTTCAAAGAGCCAAGACCATGGAGTGCTCTTGGTTGGGTTCGGTTCATCGGGTTATGCACCAATCCGTCTTAAGGAGAAGCCTTATTGGATTATCAAGAACTCGTGGGGAGCGATGTGGGGAGAGCATGGTTACTACAAAATCTGCAGAGGACCTCATAATATGTGTGGTATGGACACAATGGTATCTACTGTTGCTGCTGTTCATACCTCACCCAAGTAGAATTATTAGGACACTACCTGTCCTTGTGTATATGTATATGTATGTATGGTTGCAGAAACATACTATGAACTGTTATTGTTAGTACTGTCTCTCTCTGTTTCAGCTTTAATGTAAAATAGCTTGGGATTATTATCTTTGTAGCATCGAATGCTCAAGATAATATGACTATCAACTTATTATAAGTTGGAATAATAGAATTTCTATATGTTTTACATTACGTTTGAAACAATGAAACTCCATGAGTCATAAGAAGACAGAACATCAGCAAGAGCTAAGTTTATTTGTTTTATTTTCTTGTCAATACAAAGACTTATTCCAAGGATAACAAATATCAAACTGCTTAGTTACATCGCTAAACCGACAAGGTCCGGTTTTCCTTATCTTCCACACACACTTCTCGCACCAGTTATCACCGGAGCTATCTCGATGGTCTTTATATATATCGAACGAATGCGATTCATTTGGCCAATCAAAATTACAAAAATACAACGTCCTTCCAAAGAATTGACGCCCGAATCTAAAAGACCACGACTCACCTGATTGCAAAGACCGATTACCAAGATCATCGTCTTTTGATTTACAATGATAGAGTAACGTTAGCTGATTACCGAGATCGTTAATGATTTCTACGGTTATTTTCCCGCCAGGAAACAGAGAATTGGTTGATGATGGATCATTGGGAACCGGACTGTTGTTATTTTGGTCGGCTTGTGATAGTTTTGTGGTTATGAAGATAATCAGTATGAATATTGGTAGATATTGTTTTGGAATAACCATTTTTTGTATAGGACAGAAGGTTTAAGCTAACACGATGCTGTTTGTAACTGTCGTATGAGTTATATAATGTGTTGCTGCTACAAATCAACGATCATTTACACTGACTTTCACAATATTCTATCCGAATATACCGTTTTCTTAAAATGGATGTATGTGGTCAAATTTAATTAACTTATTTAGGTATGTCAATTATGAGTATCTTTTTTTTTCTTTTTTTTTCCTGGTCAACAACTTTGTTAGATTGACTTAAACAAGCCAATGTTGAAGAATATTGTTTACATAGGTGACAATTATGAGTATTTTGGTTTTGAAAACAAAGGAAACCTTTAAATGTTACATTTACATAGTTTTTTATTGGGCACACTTCACTAATAAGCTCTAAAACGAGGCTTGGGGAATGAATTTCATAAATTCTACCAGATTTTTTCTGTAAGAATTTCATAAGGAATGAAGATTTCTTTTCCAATTATTGACATATGTCTTAAGCTTAGATACGTCTGATCTCAAAACTAAATAGAGGTACCCAACTTTACTTGAATTGCGTTACACTTATCAAGCAAACAAAGATATTATTGAAGACACTAATAAAAATGTCAATTAAGATAACGGTACAAAGTTTTATTTAAGATCCATAGAAAGAACTGTCTACAACTTTGAAGTAGGTTTCTTGGACCCACGTCCAGCTATAAACTCCTGCATCTTCTTAAACTGTTCCTTCGTCATCCCACTGTAATACGCGTGAGCTCTCTCCTACGAATTCAAGAACAGTTTTAGACTCTCAATCACAATCACAAATTGATCAAGAAGTTAAAAAATGGCACAATGATTAACCTTTTCGAGTGTGAGAGCATGTCCAAGATCAAGCTTTAGTCCATCATTGATAACGGATTTAATCCGAAGAACCATGCCTTGTTCATTCTTGATTATAGCCTCTGCGATTTCTCTAGCTTTCTTCAAAGCTTCTCCTTCTTCAACCACATGGTTAACAAACCCTAACTTCCCAGCTACGTCAGCTGTCAATGGCATCGATGTTAAAGAAACTTCTCGAGCTTTATTTGCTCCGATGATCCTCGACAGCTTCTGAGACAAACCCCATGAAGGAAATATCCCAAACCTTCAAAAACATAAACAGAGGATTCACATTCATATCATCAAAAATGATTCATTTCAAGAAAACACACTACTTATGCATAAGAGAAACAGAATTTTAGATGTTGAATTGAGACAAAGCTTCAGAACAATATGATTTATATGAACGAAGCTAAATCTGACCTAATTGCTAGATTCAATTCTCATGATCCCAAAAGAGAACATCGAAACGATGTCGTAAGAGAAGAAATCAACCTGGCGTGAGTATCCATGAACTTAGCTCCTCTAGAAGCGACCAAAATATCACAGGCCAAGGCTAGCTCGAACCCAGCGGTGATAGCGAAACCGTTAATAGCTCCGATGATCGGTTTTCGTAACCGCTCCATCTGCACAACCGGGTCTGTTTCCGGATCCTTCACGTCTCCTTTGAAAACAGACTCCGCCGCAGTCAAATCAACGCCAGAGCAGAAAGATCGACCCGATCCGGTGAAAATCACGACCTGGACCGATTCGTCGGAGTCCATATCCTTAAATGCCTTGGCGAGATCCACCATCATCGCTCTCGTAAGCGAATTGAGAGATTTCGGACGGTTGATTGTGATGATGGCGATCCCGCCTGATTCCTTCTTCACCTGGATGAGATTTTCCGATATTGTTTGATCCATTTTTCGACGATTCCGATTACTATGAACGGATTTCGAATTTTCCGATCGGGGTTTTAAATTTAGTCAATCAGGAAGAGATGACGAAGAACTTGGGTTAGTGTGCCTTTGTTTTGTCGTTAGTAAACTACGTGTCGTTTTCCCGCTGTTAAGACGCTGCGTATTTTGTTTCTAGAACATGAAAATTACGTGTTCTTTCTTTTGCCTTTTGAGCTCCATTCATTAACCATGTGGTGTATAGTTTTTCCTTTTGAACAAAAAAATGAAGATAAAAAAATCTGGTGAAACTTTTTAAGATAGAAAAATTAATGAACATGAAATTGTTTATAATTAGATGAGAGGCTAAATAATTGATATGTAGTCATGTACATTAGTTTTAACTGTTCACTAGTGATTTAATAATGTTTTTATGTGACATTTTGTGGCTGGGTTTATGCTTAGTAGCTGAAATAATAATAAAAAGCGATTGTTTCACGCCGTTTGAGTCTTGCAGTTTGATTTTGTTCACTTGTAAGAGCTGGATAATGATTTATGTGGCTGGTTTATGCTTTTAGCTAGCTGGATTATAAGTTGATTCATAGAGTAGAATAGATTATTTATACAACGATACAAGTTAAACCTATAAATTCTAAAGCTTTTCATTTTTAACAGCTAAACAACGATATAAGTTAATTTCAAGTTAGCTAGACCAGCATGTTATGTGAGAGAGATCACTGCAGTGTCGACATAATCAGGACAGCCATTTACCGAGCAAGTCGAGTCGTCAAATTTGTTATGAAATTTTCTGATTATTAATGTAGGAAATGAAGGTTATGTAATATGTCATTTAAAGTTTGGTTTAAATAAATTACAAATCATGATATCATGATCATTTAAATTTTAGTTGCTTGTTCTTCTTATGGTTTTTTGTTCGACAGAAAATATGAATTTTTAATTTATTAGTAATTGTGAATGTCATGGGTACAAACATGGTTAATGTTGGAGTAAGCTAGAAGATAGCTTGAACCGGAAGTAATCTCAAAGACTAAACCGAGTTATGGTTTAGAGAGATAAGATCAAATATAATTAGGAGTTATCTAATATATATATATGTAATCCTAGTGAGATTAGGATTTGTGTGATCTTATAAATAGAGAGGTCGAGTCATGACCTAAACAAGAGAGATCAAGAGAGCTTAAGTTTTGAGTTAGATTCTTAAGTAATAAAGTGAGTTTTACTTTGTTATTTCTTGAGTCTTAAACATACAAATCTCGTTCTATAGTTAACACCATGGTGGAGGAAAGTAAATACAACTTGGAATAGAAATATTGTTATAAGGACATATTCTAGCTAAAATATGTGCAACTTCATTACAAGTTCGATGACTATACATGTAGCGAATAAATTAAAATTTAGATGCATAATATCTGACTTCCTTGCACAAATTTATAGCAGAAATGTCCTCCTCCAATCTTTGAAGCGTCTTTGTTAAGGTTTGAAAATCACCCTCAAAACTTATCTACCCTATGCTCCATATGTTTTTTTTTTTTTTTGAATACCCATGCTCCAAATGTTTTGAATTACATTTAACAAGGTTATTGCTTCAGCTTCTAGTGATAATAAAGTGTATCCTACAAACGCTGTACTCTAATGCTTGGGAGTTCCATGATGATCTTTATTTAGTACCAAGTAGCAACATAATTGATTTTTTCATGTTTTTGGCATGTTTCATCCATCTTTATTCCCCTTGAATATAATCTTGTAGTTGTACCTAGAGCTTTAGAAAGTATACACTACATGTTTTAGTTTTGATACAACGGAAAACTTCAAAACTTCTACTATAAATTCAGGATATATCGCCATTAGATTCAGGTTCTTGAATATTAACTTTATATCCGAAAGGTACCAAATAAACTCCATCAGTGTTGTAGCTCGACACAATTCGATTCGACAAAAAAAAGACTTGGGAGTAGGAAGATCATGTATTTCTGTTTTATCCTTCAAATGTTGTTTACTGTGCAGACTTAGTAGTGTCCTCAAAATTGGTATTTTTTGTACTATAGAGATTGCGTGTTGCGTGCTTTAATCAATGAGCTTGAGTCTCTGAAACCGGAATTCAACCGGCTAGTGGTTAAGCTGAATAGAGCCGAGGATGACGAAGATTTGAAGTGGGCTATAATATCCTAAGTACTCGGTATAACTGACGCATTCGTGTACAGACGTCTCCTTTTAGTCGAGTTTGTGTTCACAACCTCTCCTTTCGGTCGAGTTGCTAAAGCACCTCTCTCACTATCAAACAGCTCGCCCTACGGTGATCTATCAGGTTGGAAGTGATCTCCTGATCGTATCATATATATAGTTTAGATGATGTTGAATGGCCTCCTTCCCATACTGCAGATCTGATATTAACAAGGTCTAAATATTGGAATTGTATTGAATATATAATCTAGGATTTCTTTTTCATTAAGTTAATCTCGCGTCTTCAAAATCCGTAAAAGTCTGGATTATTTGGCATTAATTTTTTGTAAAAAAAAAATTCTGAATTTAATCCAAAAATACTAATATTTGATTAAAATATATAGATTGTTTTTTAATTGTCAAAGTCAGTAGTTAACTAATTAACTTGATGATCAGAAATGTATAAGATTTATATATAAAATAGTAAAATTATAATTTATGCATGTAATTAGCTATATATATCGGGGAAGAGCGGATATCCCCAAATTAAAATTGTAGGTATTTGTGATTTGCTTCGTTTTTGATGAATATCAATTTTTAGTACTTGATTTGCTTTGTAAAATGGCGAATATCCGGATTTTACGATTCGAATAACGGATTATATGGAATCTAGACGGATAATTTGTCCATCTTTAATAAATACTATTATGCGTGAAAAACGATTGTTGCAATTTGGCACTTGAATAATAATAAAGATTTTTTTTGAGCAAAGAATAATAATAAAGATAATTATTTACATTTCTCAAGAAAAGATATTGATGATGGACCAATATCTTATATTACAGATTAAAAAAAAAAAAGCAAATAGGCCCAGGTCTTCAGGTCCACCACTTAGTAGTCGAGCCGACATATAAAAAATAGAAACCCTAAAAATTTTCTCGAGAGCCGACTTTTTCTCGATCTAAGTCGCGTCGTCGGAAAAAATGAGACATGATGATGCTGGAGTTCCCCAAGTCTGCATAAGAATGAGGCTTCTCACTCCCTTTCAAGTTATCCAGGATATCGTGGCCGAGGTTGAGGATGCGTTTGTCAACAGATATGTTGACCATGATAGTAGACTGGATGTAGAAGATACGTCCAAGGCCATTTATGGGCTACAATACTTGTTCAGTAGGGAGCATGTTTCCCAGCTGATAGCAGAGATGGAGTGAAGACCGTGATGGTTATGTGACCCTGAGGGAATTTAAACGGAGCTTGTCACCTCCCTATGGGTCAATGGATATATGGTTAGCATTTCTTCGTGCAGACTCAAACAACGATGGTGAGATTTTTTTGTCTGAGTTCCACAAAGCTCTTGTCCACAATTGTATTTCTAAGTGTTGAAGAAATATTCAAGGCGGAGGAGTCTTCACGTCTGATGGATGGAATGGACGAAAACAAAGACGGCTTTGTCTTTGTGACCCTGTCGGACTTCAAGAGAACTTTATCACCTCCTTACGTCGGAGGAGTCATCATGACATCGTAGAAAGGTTCAAACTTAAACACAAAACCTGTAATTTTCAAGACGTTATCTTTAATTGATAAGTTTGTGGAGAAAAAAACCAAAAATGAGAGTCATCACGACGTAAACAACGATCAATTCAATGTTTACGGAGCTAAGTAGTAGTCTCGATTAATGGGTTGTTTGTAGAAATTTTGTACAAACTATTCATAAGTAGTTAAATAAATAACAAACCCCCCCCCCCCCCCCCCCCCATTAATCGAGAAGTACAATATTGAAAATAATCTTGGATTTGATCAAATTTACATCACATCGCCATTACAACAAAGAGCAAATTAATTAACATCATTAAGTGTATAATTGAATATTGAATTATTCACTTTAATTTGATTTATAGATTTTTTAATCTATTAGCGAGTAAAGTTTATTATAAAGAAAAGGAGATATACTACAATAACCTATAAAATATCATAAACAGCCTAAATAACCTATCTAGATTTCTATAGATTTTTACATAATATTTTTACCATATTACCCTTAAAGATTGTGAAAATATCCTGAAAAATATTCACTGAAGGGAGTTATACTACAATAAGTCAATAACCTAGAAAATATCAGAAACAGCCTAAATAACCTATCAAGATAGTATATATATTTAGAAAATAAGGGAATAATTAGTATATATTATGAATTGATTTTGATTTAAATGTAATGATTTATATAAACTTCAAAGCAAATTTCTTATAAGGGTAGATTAGGAATTATCAAAATCTTGACATAAAAAGAGAGTTATCTAGGGGAAAAAAAATGAGTCTATGTCATTGGTTTATAATTTGCCTCTACAAGTACAATGGAACCTAGAGCAGCTTTTCTTATTCAATGACACGTTCTCTCGACTCTCTCTGTAGTACAATTAATAATAGTCAAGAGCAGCTTCATCGTTTGAAATAAGCTTTTGAATTTCTTATAATTTAAATATTAATATTTTAATATTAGAAAAGAATGGACTACTAAAAAATAGACAAATGGAGAAAAAATCTCTAAAATAGCTAGCAACGTATTATAGAATTAATTTATTTTAATATATTTAATTGTTACGCTCATGCATGTTGCTTTGTATAGAGACTAGATAGGCCATTAATAATACTAAACCGGCCAACTTGTTCAGACTCTGATCTTCTCTTATATATATATAAATATTAAAAACAGTGGATCCTATATGAACACTATACAATTCGTTATTGGTCATTTCCAATGTCTCTGTCTTTTATTTAAGAGTTCTGAATTAAACTAACAGTGGTTCTGTGCCATTCTCAATGAAGAACTCCATTTGTGAATTGTGGAACAACAAAACAAAAACTCTAATATAAACCGTTCCTTCTTTAACTTTCCTCTATCTTTTATTCTCATATGAATCTCTCTCATCTTCACTGTTCTTTTCTTAGAAAATAACATTACTCGTCTTCGGTTCTTCACAAAAAACAGTCCCGTTTTTCTAGCAAAACATTCGAGTGTTAGAGATATAAAGAAAATCAAATTTATGCAGATCCGTTAGTTAGCAAGACTTGCCAAGAAACACATTTGTGTATTTTTCATTTTATGTCCAAATACTATATTCAGAGTTCATGGACAACCACAAGCCATGAATGAACACATTTAGATTGATCGCAGAGGCAGAATTCCAAGAAACGAGGCCTAGGCAACCACAAGCCATGAATGAACACATTAAGATTCGAGAAATTATGGGCATTGAATATGAGAGTAAGAGTAAAAAGGGGTTACAATTAATAGTCTTATCTCAACAACAAGTTTGGGTACGACGACTTGCCTTTTTTCAATTATTTTTACTCTATTTAATTAATACTACTAGCTATTAGTAACATCTTTTAAACAACAAATTATATTATCCAGAGACACTATTAAATTTCTCAGAAGCTTTTATATCTTCTTCATCTTTTTCCATTTGCTGTCGAGTTTGGTGGAAGTTGCATTGCACTTTGAGAGTACCAAAATTAACTTCTCTAGTACTGCTGCAAGTACGAATAGTTCCCACGTTAGTCTCTTTATTAACAGTATGGCTTATGTGTATATTTAAAGTAACATGTAAGGTTGATGAGATATAAATTGATTGGCTTGTCATGACTTGTGAGTTACGTAATAAACTCGTCAAATTTGTAAATTAATAAACAACTAGTATGAATGTATGATTAACAACCTCATGTATTGATTGATTCGTTTTATGTTATGTTGCATTTCATGGACAATAGATTTGAATATTTTCACTGTCCCAGGATAATTTTATGTCATAGCAAACACAAATGAATTATTTCTCCACCGTGAAATGATGAAGAATAGGCAAATTGACCGGATATGGTTGGCTACTTGGCTTTGTTAGAAGAATTCCAGGTGACCAAATTTGAACTCAAATGTCTCTCCATTCATTCTGAGTCCAAATTGCATAGGACACTTTCATAGATTAATCTGGTTTTGGATAATAATTTTATAGGATTTAATTATTTCAGTAAAAAAATTATTTTAATATATTTTAAACAATGTTTTACGCTCATGCATGTAGCGTTGTATAGACTACATAGGCCATTAATACTAAACCGGCCAACATTTTGCAGACTCTGACCTTCTCTTATATATATAAAAATAGGTATTAAAATAAAAACAGTGGATCTACATAAACACTATACAATTCGTTATTGGTCATTTCCAATGTCTTTAAATGTCAAAAGTTCTGAACCAAACTAAGAGTGGTTCTGTGCCATTCTCAACGAAGCCATTTGTGGAACAACAAAACAAAAAAAACCCTTATATAAACCAATCCTTCTTTAACTTTCCTCTATCTTTGATTCTCATACGAGTCTCTCTCTTCTTCAATGTTCTTTTCTTAGAACATAATAATAATATTCGTCTTTGGTTTTTCTTCAGTGTTCTTTTCTAGTTATTCTAGTCTAAAAAATCAAATTAAAACAGAAAAATATCAGTTATGTCGTTGCTTGTTTTTCTTTTCCAAGTTATAGCTTTATCGGTCTTGTTCTTCTCCGAGGTGTGTCTTGCCGGTAAAAACATTCCGGCGAATTTTGTATTCGGAGATTCATTGGTGGATGTCGGAAACAACAACTACTTAGCCACATTGTCAAAGGCTAATTATATTCCTAATGGGATCGATTTTGGATCACCTACTGGGAGATTCACCAACGGAAGAACAATCGTCGATATCGTATGTAAGTACATTATTTAATCATTTATCTTATACGAGTTATTTATCATAAAAATTTATAGTTTTATACACAAGTTTCCATGCAGTGTTTTTTTTGTTAATAGTTTTCATGCACTGTTCAAGCCGTAATAATAAAGATTGTATTTATTGTGAACATTATACTGATGGTTGACTTTCCAACATGTAACAACGTTCTTGTATTTTGGACCGGTTCGTTTTAAAACCAAAATTTGGTTTATTTCTTATACGGCTCGATCGATAACCGGAAATTTTGAAAACCGCAGATCAAGCATTAGGTTCCGACGAATTAACTCCACCGTACTTAGCACCAACAACAAGAGGATATCTCATTCTCAACGGCGTTAATTATGCTTCTGGCGGAAGTGGAATCCTCAATTCTACCGGAAAAATATTTGTAAGCATATTTTTATTCTATTTCTTATTCTTCACACATTTATTTTATATATAACATGTTACAAAAAAAAAAATGATTACAGGGAGAGCGTATAAATGTGGATGCACAACTAGACAACTTTGCAACGACAAGACAAGACATCATTTCTTGGATTGGTGAATCCGAAGCGGCTAAATTATTCCGGTCAGCAATTTTCTCGGTTACGACCGGTTCAAACGATCTAATCAACAATTATTTCACCCCGGTGGTGTCAACCGTCGAACGGAAAGTCACATCTCCCGAAGTCTTCGTGGATACAATGATCTCAAGATTCCGATTACAACTCACCGTAATAATCTCTTCTCTAATTTCAACTAAACCGAATTAAAACCAAACCGATTGATCAATAATTTGTATGGTTTTGGCAGAGATTGTACCAATTGGGTGCGAGGAAAATCGTGGTGATTAATATTGGTCCTATTGGTTGTATACCGTTCGAGAGAGAGTCTGATCCAGCGGCTGGAGATGAATGTTCGGTTGAACCAAATGAAGTGGCACAAATGTATAATATCAAGCTTAAAAACCTAGTAGAGGATTTAAACAAGAATCTACAAGGTTCAAGATTCGTCTACGCTGATGTTTTTCGCATTGTTTATGATATCCTACAAAATTATGCATCTTACGGTACGTAATCTCAACCATTTGATCTCTTAATAATATTATGTTACTTATTTTAGATTTTAACGTATGAATTTTGTAATTTGATATTGTAGGTTTTGAGAGTGAGAAGATTCCCTGTTGTTCATTACTTGGGAAAGTAGGTGGGCTTATTCCATGTGGTCCATCTTCAAAAGTATGTATGGATCGTTCCAAATATGTATTTTGGGATCCTTACCATCCTACCGAAACTGCTAACGTCATCATTGCTCGGCGTCTACTCTCCGGCGACACCTCCGATATATTTCCAATCAATATCCGGCAACTCGCTAACCTCGAGATAAATGCATGAACCGTATTAAAAAAAAAAACCTCATCTATATAGGGTTGGGCTGGTATGCTATTGGCGTTTGCATTTTGATCTAGTTAAATTTGCTTCTTTTGTCTTGTTTTATGATACATTGATATGCTTATGATATTTGTGTAATCTCTTGAAAGGTTTAGTGTAGCTGGCGTTCGAATGTTGAGACTTGAGACATTCGATTTCTTAGTATTTTTTTGGTTACACTTATATATCTAACCAAGGAGAGACTTTAAATATATCCAACATTTTTATGTTCTTTTGAAAAGCATTTCAACTATAGTGTAGTGACGATCTTACCGACAAAAATATAGTTTTTAGAAAATCCCCCTTTGTAAACCTAAATTTCCAACATTTTTATGTTAGTAGTTTGTAAAATTTAGAAGATTTGATTTTGTAACTCTAGTTTAGATCTCCAAACATGTATGTAAAGTTGTCTCAAATTGAACTTTTGTTACCGAAATTTGGTCGACGAAAAAAAAATCACCTCGAACAGTCAACTATAAAGACCTTAATTATACTCCCTCTGTCCCATTTTATTAGATGTTTGAACTAAAAGCACAAATATTAAGAAACAATAAATATATTCTCATTTATGAAAATTCAACCAATAGAAGAAGATACTGCATAATTAAAATAATTAAAAACTATTAAATTAATCTAAATCATGCATTGAAAGTAGAGAAAATCTTATATAGTGGAACAAATAAAAAGGCCTAAAACATCTTATATATTGGGACAGAGGGAGTAATAGATTTGTTAGTAAAGTTTATTAATTATTAGAATTAAAAAAAAAACACCATTTTGAATTTCCTTTAAGAACATCAGTGTTAAAAACAGTAGAAACGTTTGTTTTTTTGGTTCAAATAAAGTTTTTAGAAAATCCCCCTTTGTAAACCTAAATTTCGTCGTCTACGATAATGGCTTCCGACAATCCAACCGACAAAAATATTGTTTTTAGAACACTCAAAGCAAAACCTGAGAACAAGGTTCGATTTTCGTCAGCTTTTCTTGTTTTCCTTATTTTAATTTCTGGGTTTTACGTATTTTGGAATCGTCGTTTCGTTTGTATATCCAAACTGAGGAACATAATTTCGATCATACCTAGAAGCTCTGGGAGTTGTTTGACTAAAAAAAAGGGGTTCATGATAATTTCTATTGGATTTCTAGGTATGCTTTGATTGTAGTGCGAAAAATCCGACATGGGCATCGGTTACATACGGCATTTTTCTCTGCATCGATTGTTCAGCCAATCATCGGAGCCTCGGTGTTCATATCAGCGTCGTCAGGTAAAACTCAGGAACAATCTTAAGCCAATCTAAGCTTACACTTAATTGTACCAACTTCTTGATTCTGGCTAGGGTTTAAGGACATGATCATAGGTATTACTTCTGAAATTTTAGACTCAGTTCCACAAGTTTCTCTAAAATAGACTCATTCAAATTATGACAAGATGATATATTTCAGAGTGGTTCTATGTCTTATTTGATCGATTTACTCCAAATACTAATGGAGCCAAGATGCTACGTTGTTTTTTTCTTTTTTTCCGGTTCGATATAGATCAACGAATTTAGACTCATGGAGCCCTGAGCAGCTTAGGGCAATGATGTTTGGTGGGAACTACCGCGCTCAGGTGTTCTTCAAGCAACATGGATGGACGGACAATGGCAATATCGAGTCTAAGTACACTTCAAGAGCTGCTGATTTGTATAGGCAGATTCTTGCTAAGGAAGTTGCTAAAGCCATCTCACAAGAGACTACCACTGATCAACCAAAAGTATCTCCTGGGTTATCTTCTTATTCTGTCAAGGAAGAGTTACCTCCCAAAGAAACTTCTTCTGTGATACATGAAGCTACCAGTGCCACTTCTTCGCCTAAAGCTTCTAATGAAGTTTTGCCTAGTACGTTTACGAAACCTATCATTGCTAAGAGGACAGGAAAAACTGGTGGTCTTGGTGCAAGGAAGCTTACTACTAAGGTAAGCCTCATGCGGGGTGTTTTTTAGAGCATGAAACGTTACTGTCCTCTTTTTTGGATGGAACCAACAGATTTTTTTTTTTCTTTCTTTCATTTCGATAAAATGCAGCCAAAGGAAAATCATTATGAGCAGACCCCGGAAGAGTCTGCTGCACTGCTTATTCCTGCAGCATCTTCAGCTATTAACCGCGGAATCAAATCATCGGCTGTTTTTTCATCTGCCTCTCAGTTTGAGAACAATGACGACTTGCAATCCGGAGGACAAAGCGGTGGTGGTACACAAGTTCTTAGCCATGTTGCTCCACCAAAGTCATCATCAAGCTTCTTAGCAGATTCGGGAATGGACCGCTCGTCGATAGCTGAAGTAAGCACGTGTGTTTTAGTGACAGTATTGATCTAGCTAATTACAGTCATCTTTTGACTAATTTGATTACTAGGTTCTTAGCCGTGTTCCTCCATCAAAGTTACCATTAAGCTTCTTTTATTTTACCGGAACGGACATGAGTTGTTTCGTCAAGAAATCAAGCTCCAGCTCGTCAAAAGTTCAAGTAAGCTTGTGTGTAATTTAGTGAAACTCCGAAACAGTTACAGTCATCTTTTAACTAATTTGATTACTAGGTTGAAGAATCAGATGAAGCAAGAAAGAGGTTCTCAAACGCAAAGTCCATTTCTTCTGCTCAGTTTTTTGGAGATGAGATGAAATCTGCTGGTCTTGATGAATCAGAAACTACCCTTGAGGTAAGTAGAGATTTGCCATCATATAATGATGTCAAACACTTGTTGCGATATCACTGTGATGTCTCTTTGATTCGATATGTTGACAGGGGAAGAATGATTTCTGGTCGTTAGTGAACAAAGCAGCATGCGAAGTGAAGGAGAAGCTCTTGTCGAAGTCGAATCATCATCAAGATAAAGTGAATGACCTCCGTAGGGAAGTGACAATATTGATGGAGATACTTCATGCCCAAGATGCTGATGCTATCCCTCTTATAACCCGTGAGCGATGGGCTAACTTACTGTTTACACAAGTAATTCTTACCACGCAGTCGATTTAATCTATCTCGGGTTCTTGAGCTTTTAGTGTTACCATAATTTTTCTGATAAACATATTTTCTGGTTGGTTGTTCTAACAGGCCGCTATGCTTGGTCGACACACAGATTGCCCCATACTTAGAAGTGCTCAAATCGATGCGGGTAACTTACTGCGGGAGTTAAATGGGCTCGCATACATCAATTGAAATATAAACAACATGTAAAGTTGTCTCAAATCGAATTTGTAACACTTGTTTAGATCTCCAACATGTTAACTTTTGTATCCGAAGTTTGGTCGACGACCAGAAAATCACCTTCAACAGAACAGTCTATATTGAATAAAACGTCAATTCTAATAAACTTTGGAGTTCTATTGGAGCAGCTTTTGTTATTCATTGACATGTCTCTCGCCTCTCTTTGTGATCACGTCCTTAATAGTCTTATCTCAACAAGAATTTGAGTACTTAATTCGAAAACGACCACTTGCTTTTTTCAATTATTTTTACTCTATTTAATACTACTAGCTATTACTAATATTTTTTAACATATTCTATTATCTAGAGACACTAGCTACTATAAAAAAAATTCAGAAGCTTTTATTCATCTTCTTCTCTCTTTTTCTTCCTTTGCTGTTTCTCTTATAGCTAGACTCTAGTTTGGTGGAAGTTGCAATGTACTTTGAGTACAAAAATTAACTTCTCTACTGCTGCAAGTACGAAAAGTTCCCACTTTCGTTTCTTTATTAACAGTATGGGTTATGTGTGTATTTAAAGTAACATGTTAGGTTGATGAGATTTAAATTGATTGGGTTGTTATGACTTGTGATTTACGTAATAATCTAGTCAAATTTATAAATTAAGAAACCACTAGTGGAGTCTCATGACAAAAAGAAGAAAACCATGTGGTATGAATGTATAAATAACAATCTCATGTTTTGAGTGATTCGTTTTATGTTATGTTGTATTTCATGGACAACAAATTTGGGTATTTTCACTGTCCAAGGATATTTCTTTTTATCATATTAAACACAAATGAATTCGTTCTTCACCGTCACATGATGAAGATTAGGCATATATATAAGCCGGATACGGTTGGCTTGGTTAGAAGAATTTCAGGTGACCAAATATAAACCGTTCCTTCTTTAACTTTCCTCTATCTTTTATTCTCATACGAATCTATCATCTATGTCGTCTTTAATGTTCTTTTCTTAGAACATAATTATTCGTCATTAATTTGGTTCTTCACAAGAAAGAGTCCCGTTCTTCTTCAGTGTTCTTTTCTAGTTTTTCTAGTCTAAAAAATCAAATTTAAAACAGAAAAATATCAGTAATGTCGTTGCTTGTTTTTCTTTTCCAAGTTATAGCTTTATCGGTCTTGTTCTTCTCCGAGGTGTGTCTTGCCGGTAAGAAACTTCCAGCGAATTTTGTGTTCGGAGATTCATTGGTGGATGCCGGAAACAACAACTACTTAGCCACATTATCAAAGGCTAATTATGATCCTAATGGGATCGATTTTGGATCACCTACTGGGAGATTCACCAACGGAAGAACAATCGTCGATATCGTATCTAAGTAATAATTCTACAATTATCTTATACGAATAATAGGTTTCAAAAATATAACATAAATCACACAACATAAAGGTTTCAAACATATAACATAAATCACACACAACATATATAAAAGGTTAAACACACATAACACCAGAACAAGTATAAGTCCAAGAGAGAGGCTAAATAAATTTTATGTCCATTTGGTTGCGATGGAATGCTGGAGAAACTCTAAATAAAATTTTTGAAAGAAAATTTTTGCGACTAATTCTAATTAATTGACCACACTCCAGAAAAAAATCTTATATGAAATGTGTTCCTAATGACATCTATATAGCTCTTAATGTTAGAAGAAAACAAGTTCTAAGAGAGTTACATGGGAGAAAATCATATATACTACATTATCAAAGACAAAACAAAAATTCAGTCAATTGTTTAAATAATAATTACGAGACGATTCAAAGAACTGTAAGGCGATATCTTAAATTAGTAGACTGAATTATATGGCAATATTGACGTAATTGGTTCATCAACAATAACAAAGTTCTAAATGTTGCATTCGATTCTCTATATTGTTTTGCTAAAGCTTTTAATTTGTCCCTTTTCCTCGTTGAGTAACGTTAGCTTGTCAATGTTTTCCTCGTCAACCGTAACTGCTAGTTTTTCAATCCCTCTCGTAATGGTTTAATTCGATTAAACTATACTCGTGTAGAAGAAAATCAATTTATTTAAATATAAAACACTAGATAAAGTATCCTACAAGATTGTTCCGAAACAAGTTTATAGAATTGACCAAATAATATGAAAATGTAAGGATTTATTAGATAAGTAATTTAATTGCGATTTCGTTAATACATAGAGATAAATTATACTTAAAGTTACCAATAATAATGAGATTCTGTGGTGTAGTGGTTATCACGTTTGCCTTACACGCAAAAGGTCTCCAGTTCGATCCTGGGCAGAATCATTTTTATAAAATGTTAACTTGTTTTTACAACCAGAAAGTCAGTTATGTTTCCGTTTAAAACAAAAAGTCGACAAATTCGTAAATTAAAAACTAGCAATGTCCAAAACCAGTGACAAATCTTGAGAAATGTCAAACATATTCATGCCAGCAGAAAACAATGGATGTCACATAATAGTTAAATAGACGAAAGCTATAGAAAACATCATACGAACTGATCAGAGTAAGTTCTCAGGTGAAATTCTTAATCACGACATGAACAAGAACGACTTATCTACATTCACCCATTGATCTTGATTATGACTTCTAAAAATTTGGATTAAAAAAGTCAAACAATTATCTCAAGAAACAAAAATAAGTTTAACAAAAAGAAAAAGAAAGAAACAAACAAACATAAGACGCTATTAACAATGTTCATGTTCTTTCAGACATTCAAATAGAAGTAACACTTGATATATAAAAAAAAAACACTTTTTTTTTGTTTTGAATAAATTTATATTCAATTCAAAAAAAAAAAATGTTCATGTAAAAAGTAGTTTATGGCAATATTTAACTGGCAATTTCTTACATTCATAGTAGTATATAGTGGAGTGTGAAATTATATGTTCATTAGACTGAAGTCATGAATATCGAATAATTAATACTTTTTTTTTTTTCAGCCAAAGCATTTGTTAAAAAAGCCCAAAAGGGTCCTTACCCAAAAAAAAAAAAAAAAAAGATTTAAAAATGCAACTTACATGAAGAATAATACAAAAGTATTTTTTAAGCCCAAATATTAAATGACCCTAATACATAAGAAAATAATACGTAGAACAGACATGTGTTTGATTCTGTCTAGAGTTCATGTTATAGAGGAGAAAACCACCGGAATACCATCAGTTGCTCATCGCCGATCTTGAGTCTGCCATCTTGACTAAGCCGATGACAATCCTAAAACATCATATGAAGGCTTCAATCACTTCCTCTGAAACATCCTTTTACATATTCATCCGCAATAGATCTGATTACTTCTTGCCCCAATCCATCTTAATAAAGTCAGATCTAAATCATCTCAACCATATTCCTAGAAGGAAGCCACACCAAAGGCCTAATATACGGTCTACTTCATAACATAGACATCGAAGATATTACTCTAACATAAGAGAAAAGTTAAGTTGATGGTAAACGAGATTTAATCTTCAAACCCTGTAAATCGATGGCAAGATGGGTAAACAAAATATATCCAAGCTTAGCTAATCAAAGAAGGAAAATTAAAATCAGAAACTGATTGGAAATCAATCCGATATCAAATCTGATTTAAGATTAGTCAAAATCAGAAAATTCCCAGTTTAAATCGGAAAAACAAGAGAACTATAAACAAACAAAAAATCCGAAAAAAAAAAGATCGGAATCGCTTTCTATCTGAAAGATGGGGGAAAACGGCCTATTCCCCCACGAACTATGTTACTTTATCGCATTCATACACAAAACTTTGAGTCGTGCTTATAACTACATAAACTTAACTAAAATTTGAATTTCATACACGAACAAAACAAATCCGGCTTAAACCCACAAATCTTCAAACGGCGTTAACATTCCGTTAACTGTATGCTGACTAGGATGCCACGTAGACACAAAAAAAAAAAAAAATCAGATCTAATCAAGCCAAAACTCGATCCCGTGACCTTGTAGTCATGACAGCATACTCGTAACCGGCTGAGCCACTGCAACCTTTGACATAAGGATGACCAAACACATTTATATAAACCCAATTCCAAATTAATTTGTCTTTGTTATTTTCTTAGTCACTGAACCCGCGTGCCGCCGCAAACCCTCGTCGGAAAGACATGCCAAGACAGAGCAAACCCGCATCGGAGATGTATTATTGCAATCCGTTTGGTTTCGTCTCGTATATAAATCTTCTGATTATGGTTCTAGCTCATTTTTTCCTTCGTTAGATTTATTGTTGAACTTATGATCTGGTTTAGATCTCTGAGATTTGATGTTTATGCATATGAGCGAAACCCGAACAACGCGTTAAAACCCTTTTTCTCTCTCTTTGCTTTCTCTTCTCCGATCTCCTCATCACAGACAGTGATTGTAATCAAGAATTGGGATTTTTTTGGTCTATGAAATCGAATTTGATTCAACTGAATTTTGGAAAAAGAAAATCAAAATAAAAATTGATATCAATTGGATTGGGAGAAGAATATTTCAGTTTGTGGTTTCAAATTAATTTTTCTAGTTGGGGTTAGAGAAGCGGCGGAAGGAGTGGAGGATGAGTGGTGGTGGTGTTGGGAATGACGAGGTAGTCAGAGTTTTCATTTTTTTAATTTGTTATTTTAATTTATTTTATTTTATATCTAGATATATAGGTATATTTGTTTGGAGTCAGTGGGTCAATTGGTATTACATTTCTTTATTAATTATATAAATGTGTTTGGTTGCTGTTTTGTCTAATGTTGTTGTGGCTCGAGCGGTATAGATTGTGGTTACATGACTACCAGTTCACGGGTTCGAGTCTGTATTATATAAGATCTCATTTTTTTAATTATCTACGTGGCATCCTAATCAACATACAGTTAACGGAATGTTAACACCGTTTGGAGATTTGTGGGTTTAAGCCGGATTTATTTTGTTCGTGTATAAAATTCAAATTTTAGTTAAGTTCATGTAGTTATAAGCACGACTCAAAGTTCTGTGTATGAATGCGATAAAGTAACATAGTTTGTGGGGGAATAGGCCGTTTTCCCTGAAAGATGGAAGTGCGAGAAGATAATTTTTATTAATAGTAATACTTCTTAAATACTATCATTTATTTCATTCATTCATAATAAAAAGCTTCAGAAAACATCCTTCTTTTTAATCTGGCTTGAGACACAAGTAAGTATAAAACTATATTCAAAATCCACCCCCACGGCCTCCTCCAGAACCAGCACCAAACCCTCCGCCATGGCCTCCTCCTCCTCCTGCACCGCCACCAAAACCTCCACCAGCTCCGCCACCATGGCCTCCTCCACCTCCTGCACCACCGCCAAAGCCCCCTCCAGCTCCACCACCGTGCCCTCCTCCAGCTCCACCACCAAATCCTCCACCAGCACCACCACCATGGCCTCCTCCACCTCCTGCACCACCGCCAAATCCTCCACCAGCACCACCACCATGGCCTCCTCCACCTCCTGCACCACCGCCAAATCCTCCACCAGCACCGCTACCATGGCCTCCTCCACCTCCTGCACCGCCACCAAATCCTCCACCAGCACCGCTACCATGGCCTCCTCCACCTCCTGCACCACCGCCAAATCCTCCACCAGCACCGCCGCCGTGACCTCCTCCAGCACCACCGCCAAATCCTCCTCCAGCACCGCCACCATGGCCTCCACCAGCACCACCGCCAAATCCTCCTCCAGCACCGCCACCTCCTCCAGCACCACCCCCAAATCCTCCTCCCGCACCACCACCATGACCACCACCAGCTCCGCCGCCTAATCCTCCTCCAGCACCACCACCAAATCCTCCACCTTGACCTCCACCACCACCTAAACCACCACCTTTGCCTCCACCAGCACCCCCACCAAATCCCCCACCAGCACCGCCACCGGCTCCTCCTCCAACACCCCCACCACCGCCTTTGCCACCACCAAATCCTCCTCCAGCACCACCCCCTCCTCCAAGACCACCACCTCCCAAAGTATCCTTCTCAAGTCTCCTACATTCCGCAACTCCAATAATGAGAACCACAAGCATCAAACCCAAAAACCCTAATCGCTTAGAAACTTTCCCCATTTTTTCTTTCTACTCTTATTTTTCAAAGTGTTGTTCTTTGTTCAGTGCAATATGTTACTCACCTTACTACTTACTAAATCTATTTATAAGTGCGAAAAAGAGCATTAATGAGAATTAGTTGAGGGCCTAATTTGAATTTCTCATACAATTCCTCATTTCGCAATCTTGGATGCTACAATTTTCTTCAAGGTAATTAATGAGTGCTGAGCAAGTGTTCCTTTTTCAAATTGTATTTCGATCCTATCATATTTGTCAACCCTATCGTTTTCTTTAATCATAACAAAACATTTTTAGTGTGCCTAGCTAGAGGATTTTTTATCACCGACTAAGTCAATAGCCAAAAGAAAGAGTTATAACATGTAATGTCTTTCGAACTTTTATTACAAATTTTTTTTGCAATATATAGATAGGAGACCATGTTAACCTTGATTAATAGCGTTTTGACGTTTTCCTATGCAGGAATTTATATATGTTGAATGTTTTCCAAACTGTTTTTCAAGATCTAAGCTTATAAAACTCAAATTTATTTCACCCATCTACATATATAATTGGAGAGTTCTCTCTCCATCTAGAGTATCTACACCAGCATCCATATCATCATATTTTTATTTTTTTGGTAGACTCCATATATCTTATTTATTACAATAAAAAATATTAAACTAAAATTAGTTCACACATTTTCTATTATTATCATTCATTAAAGATAATCAATAATTTACAAAAAAAAATTAAATATGAAAATGAAAAAGTATATATATAAATTTTGAATAGATATTGGATAAATATAAAAAATAGATAATTATATCTTAACATATCTTAACATATAGTAATAAGTAAATATTTTTAGATGGTTAGAGATAAGAAAAAAAAACTTATCATATATTTTAATGGTACAACAATAATTCTTGATAGTTACAATCATTTAGTAGAATAAAGAAAATTAAAGTTAAAAATACCAATTTAAAGGTTTTTACTTAAAAAAAAAAAAAAAAGTAATTCATTTCTGAAAAATACACATTTAAAATTTGAGAATATATTTGTTAATGTTAAAGTATCATCAATTCATGATACCAACTCAAAATAAGGACTGATTACATATTATTATTTATAATATAATATAATATAAATTGTTAAGTTAAGAAATTTGTCTATATTACTAATATTTTCTAAATTATAAAGTGGTGGGTTTTCTTAAAACAAATGAGTACCTAAAAAAAAAAAGTAAATACTAATCAGTGTAAGGAAATTAACATACATTGAAAAAAAAATAATGTGATTTGAAGTAAAACAAAAAAATATCCTAAACATCAAAAATAAAATAATATAATCGAATAATAAAACTGTGTATAATAATATTTGGGAATGCTATTTGGAAATTAGAATAGTAATGGTAGATGGAAGATTTTTCTTAGAAATAAGAAGGATTTTTTTTTTTTTAAAACAAAGGTATTTAAAATTAGAATTAGGAGTTTGTAAGTTACACATTTTAAGAAAAGAAACATTAAGAATGCTATCAGAATCTTACGTTAAATTATATATGTAAAAAGAAAATTTTGTATTTTTTAAACGGTCAAGATAAAATGTAAATTTTGAGTTGAAATCTGATATTTGTGAATAAGAATGAGTCTATATATGAGATTTGTTATTTATAAAGCAATTTTACATGCATCAAAAGAAGATAAAAAAACATTATGACAAACATCTTTCTAGATTTCAGATGTTCACGTTAATAAAAAGATCATGCAACTTATAAAAAAAAAATTGAGTAATAAAAACAGGAAGGAGAAAGTAGACGTCAGGAGACGACAAGTGAATAATAGAAGATAACGAGAGAAATTATAGTGAAAAGTGAGAAATGTTTTTACTACTTCGAAAAGATAACGCACATGAGGAAAATAATATAAAAAACAAATTCAAATGATTATAAATATATTCAAAGATTCATATTAATAAACGTTTTAAATTAAAATTTCGCGCAACGAGCGGGTTCATAATCTAGGCTAGTCTTATTAACATGTACACACGAATATGAACATAATGATTCACAATTAATGTTTTACTCGTATTAAGATAAATAATTATATTAAGTACCATCAAATCTCACAAATTATTATTATTTATAAACCAGAACAAAGTTATTTGATGAAAAACACGAAAACTGTGAAGGTATTTAGACTATGAGACATGCAGTGCCTAATAATCGTTAAAAGCTAAGATTTATAGAACAATAGATGTGATAAAGTATTAATGAAAGACAGTATTCATCAAGTTTTGTAATTAAGTTTTATTTTTCTGCTATTATCGAATTTTAATCTTCAATTTTTCTACAATGTATGAGTTGTAAAAAAACACAAATCTACGAGAAATTCAACATGGTTTGAAAGTAGTAGGGTAAGAGCATGGGCAGTGGGGTAAGCAGGTGGGTGTGAGTCTTGGGGTTTAGGTATTAAAAAAACGAAAAAATTGTCTCTCTCTTCACACCCGGGTGTAAGTTTACACTCGGGTGTAACACTTTTTCTCTCTATCTCTCTCTTTCTTTCTCTTTCTCTTTTCTTTTTTGCTTTAAATTATAATACTAAAAAAATACTTACACCCACACAAACACATTTGCCACTGCTGATGGTCTAAGGCAGGTGGTAAAATTAATTAAGATTCCTCTTTCTTTTTTTCCAGCGTCTCAACTACTTCACCATTGAGTTTATTATACATACATTTGATCTTTTATAGTACTAATCATGCAGTTTATATTCATCCACAAATCGTTATCACTATGATATGCCGACAAATTTAATATTTAGTTTGACTATTGAGTCACTGACTAAAAAGGTTTGTTACCGATTGGGCGTAACAAATTTGTTGTTTTTATTTTTATTTTTTAATATTGAAATAAAAGATTTTACTTCTCATTCGTGTTGGTTCCAAATGTTGAGTAAATATATTTGAGAAAAATAAATTACATTTTTTTCCTCATATACAGATGACACTTAATTGTTGAATTCCTTAACATTTAGAAAAGAAAAGCAATGCTCTTGAGTTTGGGGACATAAGGTAGCTAGCACCTCCTTTAACACACAAATGCAGTAAGTGTTTGAAGTGTTATGCGGATGTGAATATGTTAATTTCTCTATAATATGATTGTTCGAGAGAGAGAGAATGGGGATCCTGATGAATGGTCTTAAATATATGGGTTGTCTCTAGGTTAATTAGGAGACCGAATTAGGGCCTTCGGGCTTGAACTTCCAAATATTAGAAAAAAAAAAAAATTAGGAGACTGAATATTTGATGTAATGTATGGGTTGTCCAATAGTCGGTTTTTTTAATTAGTCACGTACTTAGTAAATTTGGCGCATTAACCTGCTATAACATATATATCACCAAAAAATGTACGTTGATATTAGGTAGGAGCAATGATGCATTGTTCTCGATTCGGCATGTGCTCTATTGATGGACTACCTCTTTCTTGAGAAACATGAATGGCGCATGTCTGAGTTGTGCTAGGCCGACAAGAATAAAAGTTTATTACAACTAGAAAAATAATTAGTTTTCACCACAAAGAAAGGAACATGAGTTATTTTCTAAAACTCAACTAAAACCTTAAATTATTTTAAAAACGGTCTCTATAATGAATGCCCATTACCAAGAACTTAATACAGCTATATATAATATATAGAATGAGAAATGCTTTAACAATTTGACATTTTCTAAAGAAGACACCCAAAATATTGGAGAATAAGATCTGAAAGCTAGGCCAGTTAAACAACAAATATTACGTTAGTTTCTATTTTTAGTAACTTGTAGACCATGCAAAACAATGAATCCTTGCTTTGTTGGAACGACACATCTGACAAAATGGTTCAAACGCAACCAAAACCGTAAGCTTGAAATTTGAGAAACCATAGCTTCAAAATAAAAGAAATATCCCAGAGAACCCTAAGGTTAATAACTTTCCTCAATTTGAACATTGAAAGAGATTGGAAAATTAAGGAGAGCTCTTAAAGATGACAATTTTGAAACTATGACTGATGACCATTCTGAAACTTTGGTTTTAACATTTGCTCTGATCATTAACTAACTTGAACTCTGGATATAGTATTCGACAATCTGGACATACACTGCTAACCAACAGATCTGCATAACTTTGATTCCCCAATATCAGATCTTTTTACATCTCTAACGCTCCAATCGAGATATTACACATTATGATCAAAGAACTCCTCTTACATTCTATGAGTGAGAGACTATAACAATATACACAGTACAGTGTAGGGAATCAACCAAAATAGTTCCCAACTATATAACTATTCGTACATGTTCCCCGCAGCAAAAGTTCCTACTAAACCTACCCGGACCAAAACCAAAACATTTTCTGCCACTCACTATGATGGCATCATCATCATCAGAGGAACCGGGAGTTCAATAACGATTAGGAAATAAGAGCGTTCGAATTCCCTTATGTACTGAACCCCTCCGTTCATCAGTTTCAGAATCTTTCTGCAAACGCTTAGCCCTAATCCTTCTGGACTTGTCCATCGGCTACTATGGAACATGTCCTGCACTTTCTCTGGCGGCACACCTTCCCCTGCACACGCCATTCTAACAAAACATTGACAAAATGAGTCAGCGAGTTTGCTGTCCTTAAGGCTTTGAAATTTGAACGGTGACAACGCTCCCAGTCAAGACTGTGTTTATTTTATCATTCACAAGTTTTTCTCAATGCAGATAGCAAACAAAAAAATGAAATTTATCTGCAGCAGTAGTCACATTTACAAAAAAGAAATATCATAAAGCAGATGATTGAAGCGATAGCGATATATTCGCTGCCTAAGTCTATGGTTCTTCTCTTTGATCTCAGACCTAAGTCAACTAGCTAAATAGAGAATTGGAAAGACAGAGACAAAACCAGAACGATGGAAGGTACCTGAACTCCAAGCGTATAGCGGAGAACCCGTCAGCCATTTGTTTCAGAACCGGGCATAGATGGAGCTCTACCGAGCCTTCCAAGGGCGCATAACGGACAATACTTAGCAGAAACTCTGCCAGAACCTGTTGGAGCCTTATCTGGTCACCATAGACAGCCATGGATTTGATCTCCGCGGGAATGTTACGGATCAGCTGAATATTTCTCTCTCTCACCACAAACATGACTTGGCTTACCACTGCATTTATGACACTGCCAATGAAGAACTCTGTTCTCTCTAGCAGCAATGAACTGATGAGCAAAAAAAAAACAGAGGTTGTTTGTTTAGTAGTGCTAATGAGGCTTTATAGAACAATTTAAGTGTGTATAAAAACGAATCAAAACTCTCACCCGTCTTCAATGCTTTTGACGTCCATTTCTCCTACAATCTTCGAGATCTGCTTCTCGCATGAAACACTAGTTTCAAGAAGCTGCTTCTGATCCTCGTTTAAATCCGTAGCTTCCAACAATGAATTTGTGAAACGCAATCCGCTCAATGGATTCTTTATAAATTGGAAAATGTAAGCCAACTCTTTCCTCCTTGAGAAGTATTCACTCTCCTGCCTCCTTTGGACTTCTAGAGCTTGCTGCAACTCGGGACTCGGTATCTGCAAAAAACAGAAAGCCCCAATGATTTTACCGTCGACGCTGACCCGTTTGTTCAAAGTCAGGAGAGCCTGAATGAATTTCCCTTTACGGTCAAAGAACGGGAATGGGAATTTATCCGTTTCTTGGCCACCAATCGCGTTATGTAAAACGATCATGAACTTCGTTAACGCATCAGGACCCTTTAGTCTGCAACAGCTCCCAAATACTTCCCTAACAAGCAATTTTCCAATCACTTCGCTGCGAGGCCACCCTGTGAGCTTTTCCATTGCGGTGTTCCACTCAATGCAGCACGTATTCTCATCCGCTGCAAAGATTGGAGGGATCAGAGGGTTCGGGCTATGGATGATGGCCTTGTAATCGCCTTGTATGTTGATGAACTTGTCCATAACAATTTTATGACCGGTTACATCTTGTCCAACAAAGCAGACTCCAACGATGTTGTTTAAGTAGTCCTTGCTTGAGCATGCGTTGACAACCACAAACACTGCTTTCCCTTGTAGCTCGGGACCAAAAGTTTTCAGCTTGACCTCCACATTCTTGCCTTCATCCCCTGCATAATTGAAAATGAAACACATTATCAGAATTTGCATGTTAGAGTGTGTCACAGATTGAAAATTTAAAGAATTGCATAAACCTTTGAGAGCACAAGAAAGAAGCCTATCAGCTGTTTCTTCGTACTCTTTGTATATCAAATCGCGAACCAGAGACTTTCCTATAGCTTCTTCAACCGAAAGACCGGTCAGCTCTGCAATCTTGGCGTTCCACCCATTGATGCAGCCATCAATGTCCACAGCAAATATAGGAACCGTCGCAGTCTCAATAAGCCTAATCATCTCTCTCGCAACTGCACCTATCTCCTGCATCCCTTGCTCTGCCATATCATCCCCATGTGGCTGAACCCCCCCAGGTGCAGAAGCTTTAGAGTCCATCGCTTCAGACTCTTTGAAAGAATCTCTTAGAATAAGCTGGAGCGAGTGAATGGCGTCCATTTCAGCAGTTTCCCATGGCTGACATCGGCTCTTAACAACTTCGAGAAAAGCCTGGAACGAAGAACGCGGATGCATCCGCTGACCATCATCTTTGTCCTCAGGATGGTGCTTAGCCCCTCCCCATTTGATTTCTTTCTCTGTATGAGACCGGAACCAGAAAAGGAAGTCCCTTTTTGTGATACACGCGACTGCCATACCGCACACAGCATCTCCCAAAGCAGCTGCCTGAGGATAACCCGCATCGCCTAAACTATCTGTGCTTAACCCGGTTGAATCAGAATGGTTAGCAAGCAACCACTCCACAATGTCATTTATCTGAGCCTCAGTCGGAGCCACACCCAACGAATAGTACTTCCCTTGGTAAAGAAATGCCGCACCGTTACATTTTACTAAATCCATGATACTAGGCCTCTGCGTGACAATCCCCGTGGGTGAGTCACGCAGAAGCATATCGCATAACAGTGTCTGCATTCTCAGAACGCGTTTTTCAGACACCTGCAAGGCTAACTGCAACTCCATGTTTAGCTGTAAGCCAAAGGCCTGCATAAGAAACTCACAAGCGTACCTCAAAGGAAAAGGTATGCAACGAGCCGATGTGTGATGGCAAACGACTAAACCCCAAAGCCTCATCGAGTTTCTTCCTCCAGTATTAACACCGTTACCATCTTCTTCGTTTCCATTTATTATAACTGCCATGGCTAACGACGCAATAGAGCCCATGTTAGTCATGTATTGAGCATGACAGCCATGAGGAGCTCGCAAAGTCGAACCCACCAAGCATATAGACTGCGTGAGCCTATCGTCTTGGACCACACGAACTGGTGACGCATAGCAATCTACAATCATCCTAACACGGTTCTGCTTGAACAAGAACCGAGATGCCTGAGGAATATCAGTAGCCGGATAATGCAGACCAATGTAAGGTTCTAAATCGTCCCGTTTACTCTCCGCTACGACTTCACCATGTTCATCTTCATGAAACTTGTACACCATAACGCGGTCGTAGCCAGTAAGATCTCTAACACTGTCAACAACAGTGTCACATAGAAGCTTGATGTCTCCTCCAGGTAACGATTGTAAATGAGAAATAGCACGGACCGCAAGTTTCTGCGATTGGACTGCTCCGGCGATTGAAAGCGCCGGGTCCTCGGTTCGAGCCGGCTCTAAATCAATCAAAATTCCAACATCAACCCTGTGAAGAATCGCGTAAAAAGGTTTACCAGTGTTCTTAGAGTGAATCCAAATCGGATTCAGAAGCGTGATCTCTCGAGCCACGAACGCGCGTTCGAGGAGAACGATGCTCGATGACTTGAAGAGAGATCGCAAATCAGTACCAATCGTAAGAACCTCCGATATCTCCTCGATGCTTGGTACAGATTGAGACATGAGCCCTAGCATTTCCCGCGCATTTTCACTGTAACCGATGATTGTGAAAGTGGATTCTTCGACGGCGATCAAGCAACCAAAAGGCTGGGTATAGCCACCGCGTTGGATCCGGGAGAGATAAGCTGTGATCTGCTGCTCCGGTACGGAAGGATCGTACGGCGCCGTTTTAAGAGACTGTGAGTAATCGAACGACTTACCTGACTCTCCGGATTGTTCGAAGACGGCGTGAAGTCTCGCGTCGACAGTGAACTGTTGAATTGCTTTGCTTGTGGATTCCGTTCCGGCGCCGTGGTTTTGCGGCTGCTGATTCTGTGACCTTAGGGCTTTGCTTGCTGACGACTGAGCTTGTTCTGCGCTGGTGTGACGACTCCGATTGACGCGATGGCCTGAGGAAGCTGCCTCTCCACCGCTGGGTTTGCTACCGCCTCCGGAGACCATTTTTCTTAGTTAATCGTTTCGGAATTTCGAAGAATTACAGCGTGAAACGAAGAAGATCGTCGTCAATCATTAAATTCGAAACCAAAGTTTCACAATTTTTCCTTACTCTGCTGAAAATTGAAACTCATAGATTATGGTAAGGCTTTTTGGGAAGCTGGAATTATCATTGTCGATAGCTTAACGACGAAGTTTGTTTGTAAAATGATAAAACGGAAACCAATTTGAATTTTTCTTAAGGCTCCCAAAACCAATTAAAATGAAGAAGAAGAGGTGGTGAAAGGTTAAAGAAGACGATGATCTTGTTCTCTTTATTGATTTGACTCCCTCATATATTGAAATCTCATTAAAAGACCCGAAAACTTGTGGTATTTATCAATTTAACCCAAATTAAACTTTTGTTGTCTGTTATATGAGGGACCGAGATCACGTGGGTTGTGGATTATTCCGACTAGTGGGCGCACGAGGGACGATATATGTGGGCCTATGGGCGTGAGTGTCCCCAAGGGTGGTCGTGGTGTGTATCAAATAAAAGTATTGGACGGTTTAACGTGGACTAAGCGAAGCCGAGTAGTCATTATTTAAGTTGGACTGGCTGATAATTTAGCTATGGTTTTAAATTTTTATAGTTTATTTTAAACCAATAACTGTATCAGAGTTTTATCCAAAAGCTCTACCAACGAACGTGGCCATATATTGCATCACTAACATTCCCCGTTTCAATTACAAGAATTGACCTTGGGATAGGTTTAGGTGTAGCAGCAAAAGCATTTTAAATGTTTGTATCCATGCTTTGTTTCGGATTTTAAGAAAATAAAACATGTTTTCAGTTGTTGACAGAAAAAAATAACAAGTGTGAGTTTTTCTGATGTGAAGTAGCTTTAGAAGCGGTTCCAATGCATGGATCAAGTGATGGCACATACACTGATATACATTAATCTAACTCGAGTATGCAACATATTATCATATACCCTAATAATATAATTAATTAATTACTTATTTCCCCATTTCCTAAGGTATATATAATATGATATATAAACACTTCCACTTTTGATGCTTTTTTAGACCATCTCCCAGTTTGAGTTCAGCATTCACGACTCGTCCATAAACACGGCACCATGACCACTTGACCTTACGAACTTCTTCAGCAAGAGAACCACAATCGCAATTGTGAGTCCAACCGCAGCCCATGTAAACAGCCTGTCATCACCCGGTTTCTGAGCCGTCCTGACAACAGTGGTCTGCTGCTCCTGCCGCCTCACCAAACCGTTTCTGCTATCTCCGTCTGCAATCTCCACTGCTGCATTCGCTCCTGGAAGAACAGTCTGAGCTGCCTCTTCCGCGATTTGATCAACTACACTCTCTTCAGCCACGGTATCAGGTTCTGATATAGCCGTTGCAGCGTCCTGCGACTTGGTTTGGGACTGACTGTCAAAATCAGCCAATGGAGTTTTGTCACATTCATGAGGATTAGGTTTGGCAGCAGAAGGTGTCTTGCTGAGCATGTATTGATGAATCTGCGTATATCAATCAAAAGAACATGATCAAATCAAGCTATGCCTGAGTTGTAAATATATGATACTTAAGCCCATGTCAAATATGTAACAAGTAGCCAAAATGTTGAATTAAACAAGATTCTTAACACTACTTTTTGTTAATTTACATAATATTTCCAGCAAGGGTGTTCTTTTTAAGTTTCCTTGCTTGCTCTATATTTATTTTGCTTCACAATCAACAATAGTTATTGTAGCATCTTAGGATCAGTATCTAACAAATTCTAATGAGAACTGAGCATAACAATTTTGCATGACAAACACATCATGAGTAAACTAAACCCATCTACGTAGCAATTTATTACTTCCGCTGATCAAGAGCTCTTCCTCTTCATGTTGTTTATTATGTAATAACATAGCCACACATCCAATTTATTGGTTCAAATATCAAAAGCATTCTAAATATGTAGCCAGATTCATATCTCTCTATCGGAATATTGTGCATGGTGTATGAAAAGTTAAAAATTGCTCTGAAACAAGGGTGATGTAGTAGAGTACCTCATCAATAAGTTTTTGACGCTCAGGAGAACCATATTTGGGTGGGGACTCGCGTGATTTAGTGGCTAGTGCACGTCTCTCCTCCTTTGGGTAATCTACTGAGCCTAGTGCTCCATTGGGGTTTGAAGGCATGAACGCAATGAGAGCCACCAAAGCAGTCCGAACTACAAAATAAGTCAGAACAAATTCATGAGTAAAGTTGTTGATAAAACTCAACCTCGTTTTACATCATATCTAAAAGCTTTAACTGTTCAATTCGGTTTTAGTCACAACTGTATAAGTCTTTCACAACAAGTTTGGATATTGACAGTTGACAAGGGTGACTAAAAGGTTTGTGACTTTACCACTCCATGACGGTTGCCAATGCTCGGGATGGTAATCAGAAATGCTCAGGCAAATCTTGGTGTTGATTTCAAAACGACCACTCGGCTGAAACAAGAGCAAAAAGATTCATTAGTCTCCTTTAATTTTCACATAGAAGAACAAGTGCATTTGTTTATATGTATATTAAAATGCGGTATACAAGAAGAGAGACGTAAAGAAGAGTAAGAATCCTTACGGTCAACAACATGAATGAAGGAGGTTTGAAAGGATAGTCAGCAGGTAACTGAATCCTCCCATGATATATCCCACCTTCAAATTCAGTGTCACTTGGACCTCGGATCGCGAATTGCCACTCAAATATATTCTCCTGAAGTTACAACAGATCGAGAATTCAATGTAAACTATTTGGACTAACACAAGATTGAACCAACATCAATAACATTACAAAACAACAACTGAAATGCCAAATTGGGAAAAAAAAACTTTCAAGTTCCAATCTGAGAGGCCAAGGATTATAAACGAACACACAAAGGTCGCGTAAAATCTGGAATAGATCAAGGAACAGTTCACAATCTTCTACCAAATGATTCAATCAAAATCAAATCAAAGGGAAATTGAAATATTTCGAATATTTGGAACTCCGATTAACCTTAATTGAGATACTACAGAGAGCAAATTTCGTAAGATCAGACAAGGGGAGAGAGAGAGAGATAAGAGAAGGAAGAATTACGGATCGTGTTTCGAAAAATGTGTACCTCGAGGGGAAGAGACATGAAATCATCACAAGGATTAGCTTGCATCTCCTTAACCTCCTGCAAAATTCTCTTCACCGCCGGGTTCTTCCTGTTAAATCTCTCATCCGCCATGTTTATCGTCGAAGATCAGGCCTGGAAAAATCGAATCCACCGCCAAAAGGTACGCAAGGTCAAAATGTCAACAAAAATAACTTTAGCGCTCCATTTATGAATTAATAAAAGTAGCGATAATAATGCCTACAATGTTTCACCACGTCATCGTAAGATAGATTACGTGTCAAACGTTGATTGGCAATTTCGTTCATACAGTGACGAAAAGAGAATGTCAATATCGTCATTATTCAAGTGATCACCAATCAAATTGCCACGTCATCTGCTATCAAATATTGTTTTACTATTTAACGGGCCTTAATCCAGAAACATTAAGCCTATCAAAAATTTCCTCCAAGCTCGTCCTTCACCATGATTTGGATAAAATTTGGAAAAATGATTACTGATTAATAGTTTAACACTATAAATCTTTGATTTCTAATTTACAATAGTTGCTCACTCTTCGGGTCCTATAAACAAACTATTAGCTGCGATGATATTTAGGTGATATCAATAGTTCAACACTATAAATCTCATGATGACGTTTTTTGTACAAATTATAGTGAGACTAGGGGAAAATCCGGGCTACGCCCGGTATATATTTAACAATTTAGTTAATTTAGTTTGATTTTTTATTTATTTGTTTACCATACATGCTAAAAATGATATGATGTTGTATCTAACATAAATAAAATAAAATTTCAGGAAAGATTAGTGTTTTCTAAAACAATAAAAATATTTGTGTTTGAATGGATACATGTTCGTAGGCGAGAAAGTTGATCAGAGGCAAAAAAAATGCAGAACATTCTTGATCTCACTAATTATTTAACGGATGTGCATGGCAAGTGGGTTTATTTTTAAGGATCAATACAACTTAAGTGGCCTAAGTATTGGTTCCTATTATTTATGTGTATTGCGACCTGACGACCTCTATGTAGCATGGAGAAGAGTTGTGTTTATGAAGGTCATGTACATATACTAATTCTTAAAATAATTTCAATCACAGTACAGAAAGCGACTGTAACGAATTTCTTCAGTCATTGTTATTCAAAAAAGGGAAATGATAGTATATTTTGTTGTGCTATTTGTTCTACCATAAACATATCTAAACACTGACAACATAGAAGAAAATACGGGCATCCACAGCTAGAATTTGAGTGACGACCTATCATAGAAGTACAGAAATACTGACCAAGCTAAGCTGATAATGCTTAGATCCACGCTGTTAAAACTTTGGAGCCTTAGGTTCAGTGACAATTACTTTGGCGGTTGGGGTCAAACTACGCTTTGGCATTTCTCATGGAGTTAAATATGGAGCCTAGCATCATAGTAATTGCGTTTGCGTCATCATTAAGAATAGCATCTCTAGCTCTAGCACGAATACTCCAGCTGCATCATCATTCCAAACAATTATATATATTTTTAAAAAGACGAGTGTAAGAATTTGCTAGCCTTGCTGACCGTTTTTACTTTTAAAGAAAGTAATGAGTCTCGTTAAAACAAAATTTGACTATGATCACTTTTAAATAATTTAGGAATCTTCCAACATCGAATATAAGAATGAAAAGCAAACTGTTTGATAACTTAGTATGAGACAAATATAAAGATGATACATAAACTTACCAGTTGGTACTATAAAGAGAGCTTGTCTCTCAGCACTTATACTTGTCTAAGCCATGCATGTGCAAAGTGCAAACACGTCAAGTTAGTGGCATTCCTTTCCTGAGAAAGCTATGCATCAAGCAAATCATATATTAAAATATTAATGCAGAATTAGTTATACTTACAACTGGAAGGTCGATAAACACTTGATAGTCGGTTTGCATCAAGCAAATCATATATTAAAATATTTAAGCAGAATTTAATTATACTTACAATTGGAGGCCGATAAAATAATTGATAGTCACCTTTTGGTTCAGCGACTTTGATGACTTTGTTACTAATTAGACGAAAATCATTCTGCATTTCTAGCTCATTTAAGTTGAAATAGCTGCAGCTTATCCTACAAATTGTAATTTGATAAGTATGTTTACACAATATAAAAAGTAAGACAGGGAAATCATATATCACTTTTAAGTAAGATTAGGACATCCTCAAAGTGTGATTGTAGAAATGTGGTAGTGTATAATTTATTTCAGACGGGAAACAAAGCATCAAATATGAGATCTGGCTTCTCACCGTTTGGTCTATCTGATTAGTTTTTTGGAACTTTAAACCACACATCTGTCTCTTCAAAGACTTGAATCTAGATCCTGACATAGGGTGATCATGGTGTCAATTAAATTCATAGTTTAGAAGAAAATCACCAAAGAATGTAGGTTTTTTCACTAAAACATGGTTTACCTGACTCTGTATTTGTGTCGAGTTGTATGCATAGATTCTGGACATGGTTTATGGATACTCTATTTTGAAAACCATAGTTTCTCCTTTCACCATCGTTAGCATCTGTAGATTGTAGAGTGTCCTCCCTGTAATCAACCAAAAAACGGATGGTTACTAAAGCAGAGGGAGATCACGATTTTCGTAAGTTAATATTGTTGTATTTAGGAACCAGATTTTCTGGCTAGATTTATAGCCAGAGACAGATGGAGAGAGAAGTAAACTGGAAGTGACGTGCAACTGAGGGATTTAAGGATGGAGAAAGACGGGAGAATGACCTAATAATGGTGTAACTGATTTGGTGTAGTGGGGAATTGGAAAAGATTCAACTATCTCGTAAGAAGATGGGGCTACATTTTGCCTAATGCCACGTGGCAGATCTTTAGGTGATTTTTAGACATGCTGATGTGGATACCCTGAGAAGCTTCAATGAGTCCCTTTTATTAGTAAGAGATTTATAATGATGACCTATTAATAATGTTGGATTGGTGGATTCTCTAGCGAGGAGGGCATTGAAGACTTGGTGTTTGTTGGACTTGTTTGGTTGATAAACCAAACCATTTTATCATAAATGCAAACATACCCGAAACCATTGCCTCGAACAAATAGTGAGTGACATATACTACATTCATATGAACGACGAGAAAAGAAAATACATTTTGTAATTTGTATTATCGTTATTCAAGTTACTTGATAACCCATAAAACGGCCACGTCATCTATATTGAATGATTGAAAGGAAATGTTATATTCCTCACCATTCGATAGAACACACAAACAACTAAAAGAAAGAAAAAAAATATACACTTTAAATCCAATCCAACATATTAGACCATCTCCATATTCATCTCCAAATTCTATGTTGGAATAAGATCATAAGCAGCTATATGCTGGATTAGAACTTAAAAACTATAGAGGTCTTTTTTATTTAACTTTACTAGATAATAGAAAGAATATAAGGGGTAGTTTCATTTATTTTTATTTATTTGCTATAGTATATTCTTTTTTTTTTTTTGTCGTCTGAATTGATTATTTATTGCAAATTATGAGAACTGTTACATAGCCGATTCTACAACGGACAATTCCTTCCGACCCTTATTAGATTCACGACAGACGACACTTCCTTCACCTCCTTCTTCATGCTCACCTCCTTCTTCATGCTCTTGATGGACACTTCTCTTTCTGCGTAGAATCCTGGCGAACGGCTATAATTGTACATCGCTGGAGATCTCCTGCACACTTGCCTCCAATAATTTGCAAATTTATTAATAAATCGCATTATCTGGGACTCGAACCCCAGACCTCTGGGTGTAGAAGCATTAATTAACTTTTGGTCAACCAATGGGCCAAAGGGGCTTCCACAATAGTATATTCAAATATGGTAGAGTCTTTTTTTTTTTTGGATAACAAATATATGGTAAGAGTTGTTATCAATATTAGAAATTTTATCTTTATTTGAAATTATTTATTGGAATAGCTCTCCCGAGCCGGACTATTTAAACATTCACACAAACCTCAGCATATAAAATCATCACTCAACCGCCGAACCCTCTCTCGCGGCGGAGAATGTGATCGGAAACTTCGGCTGTTTATTAGGAAAAAACAAACCAAAATTCTTCTCAATCTCAGGACTCTTCTGATTCTCATCAAACATAGCGAACAAATACGTTTCCACTCCTCTTCCAGGCCTCTTCGGTGTTCCTCTGTTCTCCCTCACACGCGCTGCAAGATTTGTGTAATACGCTCGTGTGTTATCGAAACTCGCGGCGTTCCCACCGTTAGAAGGCCATCCGCTCTCGGAAACAACGACTGGGAGAGATCCTCCGCCTGATCGTTCGACGGCAGAGTAAACGACGTCAAGCAAGGCGTCGAAGAGGTTTTGGTAGCCGCGAGAGCCGTTCCATACGACGACGGAGGGAGAAGTGAAGAGAGCGTAAGAGAGAGATATGTCACGTGGATTGTCGACGTAGCTGAAGTAAGGATAGATATTGGCTAGTAACGCTGAGTTCGTACTCGTCAGAAACCTGATTAGCCACAGAGGAAGAAATGATCATTCGGTAACCATATTCTAGTAAACATTTGAATATGAATACATGGTTTTTAGTTTCTCATTACTCGGTTTAAAATCCATTCATTTTCATTTTTCCTAATTCATTTGAATATGAGCACATGCTTTTTGCAATTCCTAATTCATTTTCATTTTTCCATCAAACAAAACACTAAAATGAAACGATTTGAGATGTCTAATGAAAATATTATTTTAATTTTGCTCAAATGGTTTACAAAATAATAACACGTTTAACACGTTTAATAATAAGTAGTGACAACTTATATTTTTGCTCGAAAGTCAGGAGAAATCTAATGCTTCTCTGGATGTGTTAAGCCAGTGCTCATGCCCAAATCTTATTGTAAGTGAAAGGTTCTGTAATATTTTGTAATGATACTAAACATAACATCCATTGCAAAAAGCAAAAAAAAAAGAGTCGAGGTACTTTATTCTAGTAAAATCACAACCGTAATATTTTGGTCGGGCCTGGCCCAAACTTCTTGCTGCGTTATTTACATGTATAAAAAGCATACATAGCTGAGCGATTCGAGATTTAGGGTTAGGCGCAGCACATCCCCAGTTTCCACCAGCAAGGTGATTCTGCAAGGTGACCAGCTGGTGGTATTTTTAGTTTCTTAATAAAAACTATTTGGAAAACATCTCTTCTCCGACTTGGTCATGTCATGTTGTTCCTCAACGATTTATCACTGACTCTAGAATCGCTTTGTCACAAGATCACCAGCTGCACGAACTAACTATACTTGTTTACGAGCTAAGGCGGGAGCGGAACAGGCGTTATCACCCTCTATGAAATTTTCCAAATGGCCAAATCTATATTTTATTGATGTAATTTATGGAGGTAACGTTAGAGACCAATCTATTGATTTCTTATTAATACTTTCCAAATTTCATTCAATTACAAAATAACAAAATTATAAGTTACCATGAATTAGTTTCCATTTATATTAAAAAGTAATAAAAATATTTCCGTTTTTAATTTTTTTTATGGGGGGGGGGGGGGGGGGGGGGGCATAATTACCATAAATTAGTTGCCATGTATTAAAAAAAAATAGTTTTCTTTTAAATAAAAATGTGGGGTATTTATTACCATAATTTATAGTTGCCATGTATTTGTAATTATACACCTTTTAAAAAAAAAAAAATCATGAATGAATTAAGGAGGGGTTATTGGTTCATAGATTTATAAGGAATTAGAAATCCAAACAAAAATCATTTGTTATTCAATCATTGATTTTAAAATTCTAATTAAAATCATGTGTTATTGGTTCTATGAATTATAAATACTAGTTGAAATCCTTTGTTATTCGTTTAGTCATTTGTTTTTGGATTTGAGAATCCAAATTATGTTTTAAATGGATTTGAATGGAATTGAATAAGAAAAATAGAAGGATTCAAATCCATGGGTAAACACATGTTATTTCAAAATCCATATATCTTGATTTCATAATTAATAGAAATTTTCAAATTCTATATGGATTTACAAATTAATAAACCAATAACACCCCCTAAATTTATTTATTTATTTATTTGTACACATATCGGAATCTTGTGATTATGAGACAAGTTCAAATATATTTGGGGAAGAAGAAAAGATTTTCCCATGATTTCTTTCTTGCTTTCCATATTTGGGGTAAGTTAATAATAACAATAATGGGCTGTTATCTTACTTTCCATATTAATTTTGGGGCAAAAATTAATAATCAAATATTGTGATCAAGAATAAACTAAAGAAACAAAAACTCGGTTGGTATATAAATAAAAGAAATTTTCACAAAAGGGACAGAAATAAGTTTTTGTCTCACCAATTGACAAAGTGAACGTGACCTTTCACGGTTTGACAATTTGGCAATTTTCAGACAAAATTGCCCTCAACTACAAAGGTAACTATGCTTGTTCGGTTTCTCTGGTTTTGCTTTATTATGTTTTAATTTTTTTTTTAATTCAAAACAATTAAAGTGAAGAAGAACGACGAAGGAGAGAAGAGGAAAAATCTGAGTTGAAACCGGCGAATTCCGTCTTCTAATCTTCTATCTAATCTTTCATTCTTTATCTTTTATCCAGAGACGCTTCAAAATTCCGGCGAATTCCGTTTCGAATCCTCTTTAAATCTCTCATTCTACTTTGGTTTTCCCGAGACGAGCAAAAGCAAACAAATCTCCGACGACGAAGATACCAGAGTACAGATGACAGCGAAAAAAATGAAACTATTGAAGAAGAAGAGTCGGCGCCGCTCGAATGTAGTGAAAATTTCAGAGAAGAGGCAAGTGTATAGTTCACCGGAGAAGGTAATCGAGATTCCGAGTAACCCGCCGGAGCCGGAGAGCACAAGTATGGGTAAGTATCTGTAAACACTGAATTCGATTTTAATTGGGGATGGGGATTCAGGAATCCGAAATCTGAGGATACTGATTTTCAATCGAAGATTTAATCCCAAAGTGTTATAATCTTCTCGGCTGAAGAATATGAATACGTCAAAATACAATGATGATGATGTACCTCCACCTTCTCACAAGATATTTGGTTTTCTATGTTACATGAGGAAGAAAAAGCTGGCCCTCAAACTTCTACTAAAGAAGCAGATATGTCTGACTCTAAAATTGATGGACTTGATTATGGTATACCTTCTAACCAGGTATGTCGTGTACTACAAATAGTCAGATATTGTATTAGTGTACGTATATAAACATTTTAAATGTTTATGGTCTTTATTTCAGGAAAAAGTCAAATCTGATGGTATGAAGTGAGTTTCAAATATCTGAGGATGTTCTCCCCATAAAAGAGAAGAAATCTATTAAACGATGAGTTAGTTTTGATGAGGACGCTCATAAAACCGCTTCTACAACTGAAAATCTTGTAAGTTATAGAGGCTGTTATTTATAAATTTTGTACATATATCATTAAGGTTTTTAACATGATTTTAAATTAACTTAACATTATTGTTGTTTGCAGGAGGAACCAAAAAAGGATGCAGCTGTGGAAGGAAGTGATGCTCAAATTCATGATCGTGTACTCTCCACTAAATCAGTTCAAACAAAAGTAACTTATGTGGAGAATCCAGACCATCCTGATGGTTTTGGCTTAAATAAGAAAAGTTTGTAACTAACGAAATGGTTAGTTCGAAAAGGTGCAACGTTTGAGATACGAAATTATGTAACCGTCTATAACCGTTTGTGGTGTAAGGTATACGTACACAGACAAGATCAAAAACCGTACATAGTTATACGATGTCAAATATTAACGTACACAGAATAAACTTTGGTACACAAAGTACATACATAAACGTACACTGTCAACACGTCGACAAAAAACAAACACACAAAGCTAAATTGGATTCTTAAAAGTCTTATTGTTATAACCTTCTTGTCTACATCTTGTACACTGATTCGGAATAAGTCTTTTCTGTCTTTTTTTCTGAACTTGAGAAACAACAAAAGTTAACAACAAATCATGTATATAGACATTGCATAGATATAGTCAATAAGTGTACAAATTAAAATGATATAACTTACCCGGTTTTCACCCCTAGATGGTATCCTTTTGCAGGTTGGTCTCCCGAGTGGTCGTCTACTGTGTAGAGGAATAAGTATAATTTTCGATATATTTTGTGGGATGACAACATCCTTTGGATCCGCGATAGGTAGAATCGGTTCTTGAAAAGAATCGGAAAATGTTTGAAGGCTATACCATAACCCAACAACAGTCTTTGGATTAATCCCAAACTGTAATGCAACTGCTAGACCGTGTTCACATGGTATTCTTAACCTCGTGTACCTAAGACACGTACGCGTACACTCGTCGAGTACGACATGGAAATGCTCACCAGACTTGCTTGTAACCTGATAACTCCAAGGTCTCGACATCTTCAGCGAATTTTTCAAACTTAGGTAAATCTTGGAGAAAACGCTCATCAACCTCAAGCGTCACTAAAGATTTACACTTAGCCACTTTTTTCCTCCTGGCTGCGAACCACCGCATAAGGACCTCTCGAATGAACTCTATCATGTAGACAATCGGATATGATTTTGCTTTTGTTAAGACGTTATTTATAGACTCCGAGTTATTGCTAGATATGATATTGTAGCGTTCCCCTTTGCAGTGAGCTCTTGTCCAATGCTCAAATCCAATTTCCTCTAAGTAATTTGCGCATCCAGGACTTCTGCCCCTCACCTCTGCAAATTATTTATCAAAATCCCTCACCCTATATGCTTTTGCGGTGCCGAAGAATAATCTCGAAATACCATACTTACTATAATACGTGGATATATTTCGCTCAAGGTGTACTACACATGCTCCATGATGAGCTTTCGGGAATACAACACTGAGTCCTTTGTATATAGAAGAATGCATGTCCGAGACAATCATTAAATCTTCACTGTCTGTCTAGTGTACGCACATTGGTGCAATCCATGTTGACACGTCCGGGTTGGATTCACAGTTGGCTGACTGTCACCGAAAATAGCACTGGTTTCTCCTGTACGTACACGTTGATTTGTGTACGTACACTCTGCCAATAGACGACTGAATTCCCCTGGCAGTTCAACGGTCGGTTGAGTGTCACATACGTCCTCCTCAGCATGCCAAACTCCATATTCTTCTACAATCAAATCATTCCACTTGTTGTACTCGTAATCTTCACCACTACCTTCACTGTCGTCTATAGTAGGGTCGAGAGTACTGCCCGCACTATATCCACCATTGTCATCGTCATCTTTATCAATGTTGTCGTCGCTGTCATTCAAGTCTTCCCCATCCACCTCTTCGTTCTCCTCATCCTCTGAATCTTCATTTCTTTTTTCGTCCTCTGCGTCATTTTACTCATCTACATCCGCATTAGTCGCATCCACATTAGAAGGCTCTACCATGGTTTTTGGTGAGTTTTCACTCCCTGACCCAGGGTTGGTTTCAGAATCATGGCCATCCATCGTAGATATACTATTTGCCAATACCTTTACTTCCGTTTATAGTCGGTTCCAAGACATTCTCCTACTTGACTCATCGTCATCATCATCGTCCTCTTCCTCATCCTCCTTTTCCTCTTCGTCGTCCTCATCCTCTTTCTGTTTATCCTCTTTATTGTCATCTACTTCTTCTTCCCCATATACTTTCTCATTGTTTTCATCCATATTTAGAGCCTCCAATATGGTCTTTATTGGATTTTCACCCCGAACCATGTTAGTTTCATCAGCCAAATCCTCCATCATGCATACACTATTTACACCACCCTTTATGGATTGGACAAAATGACATAAACATGTTTACACTTAGACCTCCACTATGAATAAAAAGAATGTATCCAAGTTCACTTGTCTATGATAGTTGTACTTATCTTCCTGCAAGTCCCCACACATGGGACAGCAACACAATTTTCTCTGTCACGATCACTACCTCGTCTCGCACCTACACATTACTACATGTTTACGTACATAATCACCAATTACGTACACCGTTCAGATATTTTGTCAGTTCTGGGTTCAGTTCTTATTTTTCGAATAGGTTTTGTTTGATTCTTTAGTTTTAGGTATTTTTCAGCTGTAGTTCGTAAATGGTTTGAATGTTTTATTTTATGTTCAAAAAATATTTTAAACTTAAATATACAAATTATTTAGATGTTTATGTATATATATGCACACAAATTACTACCGTGTACGTACACATGAGTACATGATATTGTTAATCTCGAATTGTTTTCAACAACACGATTAAATTAAGAAATAAATTATTATTCAAAGTTAAAATATATGAAAATGGGTCTTAGAAGATAGAAAAAAATAAATTTTAACTAAAAGTACAAAAATAATAAATCTATATAAAATTGAAATAAGAGAAAAATGTGAAAACAAAAGAATCTTATTATATTTTTATTTTTTTATTTTTTTATTTTTTATTTTTGTTTTTTACACTGTAGCTAACGAGAGTGTACTGTACATAACGCGTGTACTGTAGCTAACGAGATACTGTGTACGTAACCAAACCGTCTAACTAATTCGTCCATTATGACTGTACACTGGTTTCGCTGGGAGGGTAAATTCGTCCGAAAATGACATAATTGTCAAAACATGAAAGTTCTTCCCCACTTTGTCAAAACGTGAAAGAAAAACATAGTTTTAAGGCCTGGCCCGTAATTAACCCTATAAATAACCACTCCCATGCATGAAATTACACGGTCTATTCCACCAGCAAGGTGATTCTTCTGGATTCCCTATCTTCTAGATTCTTCTTCTTGCGCGTCTCTCTTTAATCTATTTATTGAGGAATTTCGATCCCCATTTTATTATTATATAGACTAGATAAATACCCACGCTACGCGTGGGTTTGTTTTAAAAGTTGTTAATAACAAATTATTTTTATTGTTCTTGTTGCTAGTTGATCATCCGCTTTACGCCGCGGGTTTTTCCGTTTTTTTTTATTTTGATTTACTTGATGTTATATTTTGATAAATATAATTTTTAATTATCTAATCATTTACTCATGCAATGAACAACTACTCTTATTAGTATTAAAATACATTTTCAACCAACATACTCAACAATGCATCACTCACACAATCCGTAAACAATCTTTGTCCTAAACCAATTTTATAAATGGTAATGTTGGGATTATAGAACCTCAAAAATTTGATGACTCTCCACCCTCAGTGTCATATATAGATTTAAAAAGATTAAGAGAAAAACTTACTCAAACCATTAGTTAATCCACTATACTATTATCCACTCATATTTTGAGTTAAGATTACAAAAATTAGCGAAAAAAACTTTGGAGTATATTAAATTAATAAAATAATTTCATTGAAAAAAACATAAAATAACAAAATAAGTTAGTATTAGTAGAAATCAATATGTAAAATTAAATAATATATATAATTAAATAATAAATATATGATTAACTTGTGAAATAGATTTTCAAATCCATATGGCCCATCCCTCATGGGCTATTGTGTTTTTCTCATTTGACAATTCTAATTAAAAGATGATGTGTAAAAAATAAAAGCTGAATCATATTAATGAAATGTTTTGATTGGAAGATAGAAAGCTAATGTGTCAGCTCCATAATAGCCTAAAATGCTGACGTGGCGGAAGGATGGAGAGAGATAGCCTCCTTTCATATATATGATTCTCCTTGCTTGACATTTTTGTTTGTTTTCTCTTAATCTCTTCTTGCTCGATTATTGCGGAAACTCTCTCATCTAATCTTATTTTTGGTCAATTAGATATGGATCCATCTTCTTCTATAGCAAGCCAAGCCTTAGACTTGTTGAAGAAGACATACGAGGTTGTGGATCATCCTTCAACGAATTCAATAATCTCGTGGGGACCTGACAACAAGAGTTTCATAATTTGGGATCTGGAAGGATTTGAAAAGTTTCTTCTTCCCAATATCTTATCTCCCCTCAACCTGGGCGTTTATGCCTCGTATCTCAAGCTTTATGTAAGTCTTTCACTTAATTCTTGGTCGTCTCTCAAATAATTCAATGATAAACAACAGCTCTTGTGTGATGTTGTTTTAATTCCTTGTAAACGTAGGGATTTTTAAAAGTTGAGTCTGAACAAAAATGGGAATTTGCAAACGATGATTTTGTGAGAGGCCATCCTGAGCTTTTGGAGAAGATTACTGATCGCTACAAGATATACTGCCAAGCTTTTTGTGCTAGGGAGGGTTTGATTATCTAAAATCAATGTAACATTTGATTAGGAATTTTCCTATCTATCTATCTATCCTTGTGACTCTCTTTATGAAATATCACTCATGTAATAATCCAGCACTAAACTTCTAAAAATCTTGTTTGTTTGTCTTATTCTGTCTGAGCAAGATGTTAGCTAGGATTGTTAAATAAAAGCATGCATAATCGCTAGTATGAAAATTTATCTTTGTTTAAGTATTCAGTTATGCAATTATTAAACACATTCAGTAAAGCATCTTTAGATCTTTTTATCATCTGTGTTTTCAGAGTCAGCATTTGTTCTTGTTTCTGTCTGTGGCAAAACTATTCATCTGTAGGAGATAAGAAACTCATGCGTTTTGGTATAGACTTTAACTTCAATAGAAATTCTCAAATTTAAATCGCATTCGAAAGAAAAAAAAACAACTAATAAATCAAGTAACACGTTTAAAGACAAGAAAAGAATAAACTTCTTGATCTTGGTTTATGTCTGAAATTACTTGATGGTTAGAAACCTTGGCTGCAGAATGTTTCAAACAGCAGAGCAAAGTCTCTTCTCTTTCTTTTTTTACAATTGTTGATATGCTGGATTGGAACTTAAAAACTATAGAGGTCTTTTGAAATTAAAAATTAAAGTAACCAAAAGTAATACAGCTCCAAAAGAGCAAATGAAAATAGCTCGAAAGTGAGCAAATTAGAACACAAAAACAGAGCATAGCAAAGCAAATGATGCAGCGTATCTTCACATCATTGATCACCAATTCATCGACTTTGTTTAAATCATGTAAATGGGCCTTAGGTTCATGGGTTTTAAAACCATATTATATCGGTATCGTTTTATATTAGATTAGGGTTTTCCGTTTTATGTTTCTTATTTAAAGAGCCGTGAGACTCATTTGTAAATTAGCTTTTGATTATTGAATAAACTGAGTTTTTAAGAGAGCTTTGTGTAAAGCCTAGAGAGGAGGACTCTCAACCCTAAGAGCTTGTGTTCAAGCCCTGCAAGGAGGACTTGCAAAACCACGTCGATATCGTTCCGTGGAACCGATCTCGACCCTATCTCTATTGCTTCTTCGTCAAGTTTCGACGTTCTAAGCAAGATCCGTTCGTGAATCCGACTTCTCTTAGAGATCTTGTATTCTCGTCCGTTACTTAGCTTCCGCTCTCTATCAGCAAACAATCAACAGCACACTTTAAACTTGTATAAAATAACCTGCATCACGAAAGTAAGATCAAGAAGCTTCACGTCGTTCTTCTTCAATGCGGCTAAATATGATCAAAAGCGCCCATACCGAGTTACACTCGTAGCAATGTCTCTCGCTAGTGAATTAGGCTTGAGGAGTAGTCAATTTGAAAGTAAT